TAAACACGGGTAATTCCCGGGCGATTCCGAATGGTGACCGCGAGTCCCCCTTACTGCTGCTAAACCAAGGCGTTAAAACTTAGGCTATGTATTTAATGTTAGTACGTGGAGGAATCAAATAATCATCATGTAGAAGTTTAAATTTTATTTTTCATAAGAAGCTAAAAAAAGGTTGAGCAGATGATTGGCAACTTCCATCTGCGCAACAGAAAATCTAAAAGTATCCAAAGAGAAAACAAAAACCAATCAAAATAACTTACAAGCATGAAGTCTATCATCCCTTTCTTCTCCTTAAGAAAGCTTCGGGTTGTAGACACGTCGAAAGATATTATTTTTCCTGTTTTATTCGAGGTTTCTTTCAACTTTTTCTTTTCTTCACAACCAGAATGACAAAGCTACCACCACCTCACGGTCCAGGGACCTGGGACCTGTTACCCATAATGCTGTGCGGCGAAGGAGTCTAGTCACGCAACGAACTATGGGTTATGTTTGGCACCTATGATTTTGGAATTGGTAGTAAAATAATCAAGTAATGATATCTTAATGATTATTACAAATGCTTAGAGGAATGTTAAGGAGGTTAACAAGAAATGATGAGATACCAAAAGCATCTGAAGTTCTAACACAGCACATCAGACAGAGAAGACACCCACCTTGGACATCATATTTTGTATCATATAAAGATGTTCTTAATGATCAGTTTGGAATGTCCCATTTTAATTGGAATGTAGACCATGCAAATTATCACATATTAAGGACTGGTTGTTTCCCGTTTATCAAGTACCACTGCTCCAGGAGAAGCTATCAAGATCTGTCACTAGAGAATAAGATATTTACAGGATTGAAGCTATTAAACTTGGGATTACCTACACTTGCATATGGAATAGCAGCTTGCTTCCTTATTAAACACAAAGAAATGATAAAAACACCAAAAGGAGATGTGAATATTTTTTTCTTGATCCCAGAAGACAAGGATGCAATGTATTGAGCTTATTAAATGATGGTTCCAATGGTGCAGCACGAAGAGGAATATTATTAAAGCAGTTTGAAGAAAGGAAAAGACTTTATGTACTACGTTTATCTTCTATCTCCAGACTTCCAGTTCTACAAAACAATTAAGGATACTAAAGAATAAATCAGTGGCGTGGGTTACCTGTCTCAAACGTCCGAGAGAGATTGGATCGAGTGGTTACGAATAGATATTTGATGCCAAATTTGAGGAAGTGAAATCAAGTGAGATATGAGAAGCGTAAAGATGAGAGGTCGTTTTGTCTGCTGTGTTTTGGTAATTGGGTAGATATCTTGATTATGCACATGAAAAGAGAACAAAAAGAAAAAGAGGTCCTTTCATTGTATACGTCTCCGTCGCGTACTTTTCATTCCGCTCGTCTCTCCTAGCGGAAGAAACACATATTTTGCTAATAAACTCATATCAGACAGATTAAGCTACTTCTCCCGGCTGGGGACAACACAACAGACCCTCCTGTAAGCTCTCCGGACAGACTCTAGGCCAGACTCTCCAGACACACACTCTAGGCCAGACCGGGAAATAGTTACTGCGGGCGCGCGCGATTATTATCGTGACGTCACAAGTAGTATAATCGATGGAATCGAATTGTTATTCGGGAATATGGAGCCGCAAGAAGTCAAAGTAGTAGGTACGAATGATGCTATTGGTAGACTTTTATCATAAAAACCAGTATTGTTCACTCAAATGAGATGTGTTTTTTTTTTGTACAGTTTATGCGGCGAGAAATTTACAATCAAAGCGAGAAGGTGGGAAAATCTACTTAACCTTAGCTATGTATTGTCCAAAGGGTTCAATATTCGCTACTAATAATATGCATATACTTTTTTAGATGTCTGCTGCGCTTCAGTCGTTTTTGGCATCGGAAAAGAGAAATTTCGTACGGAAGTAGTGAAGGAAAACAATCCGACATGGAATGAAGAATCTGTAATGTGAGTCATTGGTTTTTATCTGTCACATTTGACTGATTCACATTTAACATAATGTATCATATTTTTGTTCGTCAAAAAAAAACGAGCCGTTTTTGTGCTGTTAAAGATCGTTTTTAGGGCTTGAGATATGCATACTTTCTCCAACGTTAGTGTGTGTTTACATTTATATATGTTTTTATTTTTCGTCGCAGCTGCTGTTCAGCTAGTTTTTATTAGCTTTCTTTCATTCAGACCCATTCATCATTTTTCTTTACATAAACGCTATTAGATTAAACCAAGACGTTATTTTTATCATTACATATTCAGTTTCATCCATAGAATATACAATTTCGATTTCTTAGCCAAAAGGGATCTCGATAAATTCTAAATTGTACAAAGAAAAGATTGACGGATTGCTTCTAAATGTTATATTTTGAGTTGTCGAGGCAATGTGATGGCCAGTGGTTTTCTCATTACGAGGTTAGAATGATAATATTTGGGTAAAAATTAAGAAAAGAGACAAAATAAAAAGGACTGGAATAATAATTTGTTAACCAAAATAAATAAAGAATAGAAATCAGTTGTTCCTCCGAACTACTCCAGTTTGTCGTAGACGCTTTTGCTTGGTCATGATTTTGTCCTTCTACTGATTTTATAGCTTGACATTCATTAACCGCTATATGTGACAACTTAATGGGATTTTGAAACTCATTATCGCTTGTTTTAAAGCGCTTGTATATTGATGGTGAGGTCGACTTTTAATGATGACAACATAATAGACAAGAACTGAAGCTGGATTTTTAATACAGGATTACTGATGCATTGACTGGATTTAACTAATGCCAAGATTTATTAAGTTGCACATCACTAATCTTGGTCCTCCTATTAGATGGCATTATCAAAATGCAGTGCCGTTTTGTTTTGTTCAGTTGACCCTATGACATTAGTTTTTATAAAAAGATTCAGTAAATTTTTCGAGTGGATTGAAACAGTCGTAAGTAAATCTTTGTGCTATTAATAAAACTCCGAGAGTATAGTACGATATTGTAAAATCTTGGCCACAAAGGGGACACCCATGCAGCTTGAATGCCTTCCAATGTAACATGGCAAATATGCTTATCAAAAGTCTTACCTTTTTTCTCCGTAGAAAACTAGGCAAAGCGGCGCCTCTTGTTTTCACTGTATTTGACAAAGAAGATGTACTGGGAACTGTTACCGTTCCTCTGGCCCAGATCCCCTCGGCTGCACATCGACGAAGATGGATGCCACTGACCAATAAAAATGCACCTTCGAATGGAGACCTTTGCCTTGATTGTTGGGTTGTGTCATTTAGGAAGAGTACAGCAACATGGACATCGGCATTTAAAACTAGTTTTCTACCTTCCAGTATGATCAAAGATCGATCAAAAAGACGACAGTCAATAGAAATGGCGTCCATCTCTCTAAAAGGATCGCACTCGCAAGAAAATTTATACACAGACCTTACACTCAAACCAGCTTCCGATAAAGACTTGAAGCGCACTGATAGTGGCAACCTCACGCGTCCCCTACCCCCTCCCCCTTTAGTAAATGGCGATGTTCCGTCAATAGCAGACACAAAGCAGAAGTTTGCTTTTAGTTTTCGGCCGCGCCTGACTCCAACCCTCGGGCAGATCATGTCAGGGAGTGGTCCCCCGGAGATTACTGTAGTTACACCTAAATGTGGCCCTGCATCCGGGGGGACAAAGATCACGATACGAGGAGCCAATCTTGGTACTTCCAAAGATGATATCTTGTCACTTAGTATCAATGGCTCAGATGTTAGAAGTACAATGGAATGGCATTCACCGGCAAAACTAACATGTAAAACCAAACCTTGGGGTGGCAGTGGACCTGTTGCTGTTGTCACAAAGACAGGAGGTCGCGGCACGTCTATGGTCAAGTTTACTTTTCAGGAAGAGAAAGCGGGTGAGGAAAGATAACTAGTTGACCAATTACAATTGTTCACACTGCTAACGTGGAGGTTAAATCTCGTTCCACCTCCCTTGGTAAATAATTATCCAGTCCTACGATGATTTTTGATTGAGTTTCATTTTGGACCAATCAAAGCAAACAACAAAGCACGACAGCCAATCACAGCTGGGTCCATGCTTATCAAATGGCTTCTAAAAACCATGACAACCAGTGGCAATACGGAAGCCATTTAAGAGTGAATGTACTGCGCGTTTCTCGTTAACCAATCAAAGCGCACAACAAAGCATGACGACCAATGGCAATACGGAAGCCATTTAAGAGTGAATATACTGCGCGTTTCTCGTTAACCAATCAAAGCGCACAACAAAGCATAACGACCAATGGCAATTAAGGAAGCATAAAAAATCCGGGAGTGAAAATTGATAATAGAATCTTTTTTTCCTTTTAACAGAAAAAATCAAAGATAATAAAGTACCAAGACATCAATTGTTAGAAGAATTAACCCGATTACGACATGAAGTTCACGGTGAGCAAGGATTATTCTCAGCATTATTTTTCATGTCACTACTTTCTAATTCTACTATATCAATTATTTTTCGGTTACAGAATTGTCGGACGAAAAAGAAGCTTTACAGAAGTACATAGACGATATGATGGTGACATTAATGGAAAAATGTCCCGAGGTACTTGAACATTTCCAATAGTTGCCTTGACCACTATCACCAGAGCAACACAATATGTTTTAGAACGACTTTTTATACAAATTAATCACCATTAAAAAAATTATCATCTCGTAAAACAGATGCGTTTTAGTGCATGGATTCGTCCAGAAATATTTTGGATTGCTCTATTTTCATGCAAATTAAATACCAGAGTTCACTCTGCAGGATTTTTTTTTCTTCTTTTCTTTCTTTTTCTTTCCTTTTTTCTTTTTTTCTTTTTTCGCATTATATTAACCAAGTCAATTGTTTAAGGAATGATTTATAAAACAATGATCATAAATCTCGTTTTCTGGTTGGTTGACGCGCGTGCATTATGAGAGCACACAACACGCGATCTTAATATTTATATCCCCGATTCTTTTAATTCATATCGAAATTTCTTCGTAGTGTTTCATATACCGCACTCATGAACTTTTAGTCAACTTGACCATCACTACCCCTGTGGGGTTGACTTCAGCAGAGAATTTGGACGTAAATGAACCAAGATCTTTATGGGCAAATAAATCTCTAGCAGAAGCCACTTCAGCATCAAATCCAATCTATGGAACGAAAAGCAACATGTCAGGAAGAACATGACAAGAAGATGAGAGAAAGTGCGCATGTGCTTTATGTATGATTGGTAAAGAGCGCTGGTCACACTAGTCTCCTACGAAGCCGCTATTAGTGTCGTCACGCAACGCTCACTCCCCTAAGCAGCGTAGGAGACTATGGTCACACACGACGCAAGACGATCGATACAGCATAGTATGACTAGAATACTTGCGGGACAGACGTGCGCTGACGATACTCTGCCGTACCATATCCGTGCCGTGTTGAGTCTCAAGTTCTAAACAAACATTTTTTGGGGTCTATGAAGAAACGGCACGGTCACGGAGTGACCATAACCTTCCAACCAATCACAGGCAACCAAAATCTTGTTTAGTCTAATGACGTATAAAGGTGAAAAAAAGTGCACAAGTCACTATAGTAGTGGTAAGGCAATGACATTGGAATATTAGTATAGCGATAAGGCTGAAACAGTAAATGACTCTGGTTCGAACCCATATCTTGGGTTCGGAGAGTTCCAGACTTGAACCTCAGCTCAAGGATCGTAATAATACCTGTTTAAAGGGTGCTTCAATCTCATGTGGTGTTCCATCAGTTCTACGATTCAATAAGACTACAGCTACAGATCCATCAGCCAGCGGTCTGGACCACACTTCTGTGTTAGATTTCTGAAATAAGAAAATGAGACGGTGTTGATGGTATAGAGTATATTATGGATGGAAAGTGGAAGACACGTTGCATGACAAACTGTGCAGTGGATGCTACTGAAAACCCTTGCGCAATCTGGTTTATATTTAAGGTGAACCAGTTACCTTGATCCATCTTCTTCCCATCTTTCCCATCTTATCCTGATCAACAGCAATCACCTCCCTGAAAATATCAATATTCATTGAGTACGAGAATTTTTTTCATCAATTATTGTTGCGTGCTATTTATACAAGAGAATCGACCATAGCATGGGTGAGATTCTGTTACTCACTTGTTTTGCAGAATTTCTTTGTGTCTATCAGCGATGTTTCTCAAGTCAGTAGACATTATTAATGGCTGTGAAACAACCCAAAACATTGTACATGAAAATAAGGAATACTTATATCCAACAACATATGAACCAACACATTCAGTACTTACAGCAGCTAGTATTGACCACAATGCCATCTGAGCTCTAGACTGGTCATCACTTAAACCAAAATTTCCAAGTACAAGCTGAAGAAATAACGATAAATGAAATCGCAGATGCAGCATTGATACCGGTTTGTCTGGTTTGTCTACATTTATTAACGTGCATAATCAAGTTATGTGAGTTTACCATGTCTGGATCATTCCAGTGACCTGGTCCTGCAGCGGCAATGAAAGTGTCTTGATTGGCAGCAAAGTAATCCAAGATATGTAAAATACTGTCCCAAGAATCCTGTACAAAGATTATTATTAAATATTTAACAATTATTTGCTGAAGGCAAAGTAAATATCATATGACAAATGCATGTAGTGTAAACAACCTTGTTTCTTTAAACTTTTATTCCAAGCTTTTGGGCTGAGGCTGAGGCAAATAATTGTTTTAGCATAATTTTAGACTTGGTCCATGGTGTGCATGCGTGGAGTGATGCTCTGGCACCGCATGCGGCCAGAAGGCTACTGAGTTTTACCTTTTGGGAGAAGAGGAGATTTATATCATTTTTTTAATTCCGTTTGTAAGGCCCCTTTTATGTCTAATTTCCTTCAAATGAAATGCACTCAGCCTCTGTTTATTTTGGAATAAATTAAAGTTTGTGTAAACCGCCATGGCCAGTAACATAGAGAAAGGACACTGGGGAAAAAACATTTAATCATTACTTCCGCTTCGGTTATTTCACTTCTGCTCATGTCCAGTGAATATCGACATTATGTTCAAGCCTTAAATGAAAGGGAAAAAACCCTTGGTTTTCATACCTGGACATCATCGTAGTTCCTCCAAGTGTTACAGTATTCTGCAACCTTCATATAGTCTGTCTGTTGATAAACAAAAACTGAATGGATTGATGGAGAGATGGGTAAAATGAACAGATGGGATGGGAAGAAATGAATGGGATGGAATGAAAGGATGCAATGGAACACATGAATGCAATAAAATGAATGGATGAAATAAAATGAATGGGTGCATGAAGGGATGGGATGGAATGAATGAAAGGAATGGATGGTAGGGAATGGGTTTGGTTGGATCTGAATGGATGGATAGGATGAGTTGGAAAGAGATTAATGGATATAGGATGGGAAGGGAAGGGACAATTGGATGGATGAATGAATGAATAAATGCAACTCAAAATGAAAATTAACAAATAACTAGTGTTTCCTACTTACAGTTATGTTCTTTTGCTCAGTATATGATGGCCATTCACAACTGTAAACCATAGGTCTACCAGTAGCATTCAGTGCCTTGGAAAATTTAGGATAACCTTGATCCATTGTGCAAGGATCAGAAAAACACCCATCAAATTTAACATAATCTGCACCCCAACCTGCAAAAGTCTACGACAGAAAAGGATTAAATTCCAAATAGCTGAAGTCTACAAGGGCGTAGCCAGGGGCACCAGCCTCGTGCTGTAGAAACCTAAACATCAATGCAGTCATGTGATAAGTTCACACAACTTACCAATGTTTTGAAAATGTGTTTTAGGTCTCTAAGGTAAAAATCCTGGTCTGTGTTGGTGCATGTATGGTGTTGGTCATGTTTCAGTATGTGTATAGATATTGAGTTGGGCATGAGATTTTACTGTGATCCACCCTAGACTTCCCATCAACCAGTGCAAGCTACTGGTTCATCATGATAGAGACTTCCATACCTCGGCATCCTGTTCCATGTGACTGATACTGCCAGGGTACCCAGCACAGGTATAAACTCCATAATCTAAAATAATAATACTCACTGTTTAATGACTGTTGAAGGGTAGTTACCCAACTAGGCAGGCAGGCAGGCATGCAGCTTGTATACTTACTAACCTCCGTATACCCCAAGTTTAAGCCCTCTAGTATGGATCTACAGAAAGATGTGACAGATGTAACCTTTTCAACAAGTAAATAAATAAATTAAAATAAATATTACTACATATTATTACTTGTATAATTAAAACCTACATAGTTAGCCAGTGCCTTGATGCCACTAGGAAATCTTGTTCTATTGACGAGGAGGTTGCCAGCAGCATCTCGATTCTTTTCTGTATAACAATCCTAAAAAAATAGATGATTCAGTATGTATTAGTATTCTCTCTAGGGGAGGGGTAGGGAGACTTCTTGTCATTTCCTTGTCCATCACACATCCTTGCAGGTTCCTTCAAACACATTTAGTAATTATACATTCTTTTTTTTTCTTACATCAATACTAATGAATTCATATCCAACATCTCTGTATCCATCCTGTACCATACGATCTGCTATCTCCTTGAACAGTCTCTCACTAAGGTATACAAAAACAAAATATAAGTACATAGTTACTAGGTACATAGACAAGTGATATTTGGAAGGGAGTTAAGCAGGGGGTGGAGAGGGGAATAGGATGGCAAGTCACCCAGGCCTCCCTTTCCCCCCACACACACCATTTTGATCTTTTCAAACTGCAGCTTTCTATACTTTCAAATTAATGCAGCTTGTTTCACATTTTCATATTTTTCAGCTGAAGTTACGAGCTAATTTCTGCATAATAATCATCATTGCAACACATCAGGGAGGGATATATATGATAAGACCCCAAGACAGGCATGATAATCTACAAAACTAATTTGTGTTGACAAGGAATCCATTACTCACCCAATGCAGTTCTCTGGATCATTTTCACAATCAGTATTACATCTAAAGCGTTCCCAGTCCATCCAACCCACTAAAGAACGAAGACAAACATTAGCGCAACAAAGATTTCAATAATAAGCCTTATTACGAGAAACAAAAACAATATTCAGTTCTTTTCATGTTCAACATACTTGGCGGTGTTAGTGCTAGGCCATTATTAAGTGTATTGACTGATACAACCAGTAAAACAAACATAAAACAAGAAAGAAGAACAGGAAACCGCAAGCATGGTCCCTCCGCCATGTTGAGACGGGTCGCGTGACTTTGACACACAGGGTTCCCATAAACGTAACGACGCCAGTTGAGGACAAAATGTATCAGTAATCATCTTGCGTTGAACATTATTTCTTTCACGAAAACTGCTGGAAAGCAAGTAATGGTTACTGTCAAACCAAACGAGCACCCAATGCTTTGCCCACCTACTCGTATGAAGCAAAACAGACATATGGAACTTTGAACGAAGTGTTTTTATTAACATCAAGTTCTTGTCATTACAATAAATCCTTCTCAACTAACTAGAGAAACTGCTGATGTATCTTTTGTTTAATATAAATCTTACTCACTTACATGGAAAAATAAATGAAAAATAAAACAAAAAAAGGAGAGAACGAAAGAAAAAAGTTGAAGGGATTTTCTTATTCCAGGGTTATTTAGTAATATATTATTTGGCTGAGGATGGTTTATCACGTGACCAGAAGGGCGCTATCTTTGTTGTGTAAGGTTCAGAAGGAGAAACTCCTAGAAAATAAGAGAACAGAAAACTGGTTGATAATCAAGTTTTAAATGGTAGTATTAGGTGGATGGGTGGTAGGGTGAATGGGTGAATGGGTAGCGGGGTGGATGGGTGGATGGGTGGATGGGTGGATGGGTTGGAGGGTGGCAAGGTTTTCAGAGTGGCGGGTTGGATGGGGGATGGGTGGATAAGTGATAGGTGGCAGGGTTGACAAGCGCTGTAATGTAAAAAAGTAACCAAGAAATCTAGATCCATCAAATATATTTGCACTTGTTATACGTTACCTAGCGGTAAAGAAAAGTGCGGTAAGATTCAAAAGGTCACTGCGCGGAATCTGCGCTTTTAGTTCATCAAAAAACCGATACAGAATCGTTAAGTCATTACCTACCCTCAGTACTGGTCCTCGCAGATCTTGCTTTCTTTCTTTGTTGTAGTCGCTCCCTCAATGACAGACCGTCACTGTCTCTTGATGGTGGAGTGTGGAACAGAGGAGTATGTTGATAAGTATGTCTCGGGTCTTCTCCATTCATACTTGAGAATGAATCACTCAATATGGCTCCTTCTAGGTTGGCAAGCTCTGCTGTTGTATTTAGACTGTACGTTGTCTTGCCTGTTACTGACAGACCCTTATGTTGTTCCTCGGTCGATGAGGTACTTGCTTTACTGGGATAATCTTCTGCAAGCTGTTCTAAGGTTTTACCACCTTCAAATGGATTATTCAATTTTTTCGCTGCTTGTGTAGCTTCGTCTTCCTTCTTCACCATTTGTCCTGCCTCTGTAGGTAAAAACTCTTGAGTCAAAGTTTTCTTGATCTGGTACAACTCTTCAGCACTGTTAGATACAGCTTCAGCAGCGAGGAGAACGTCTCTTCTGGCCTGATGGAATTCTCTCATATTAGACCTATTCTGCCCATCTATGGTGGACTGTAGTCGGTCGTATCTCGCCAGGCCTGAGGTCCCTTGTTTTTTTATTTCCTCAACAAGTCTTTCATAATGTGCTTGCATACCATCAAGGAAGGATTTCCTAACACCTTTACTTTCATTCTTTACATGTTTGATGACTTCCTCGATAGAGCTGTTCAAAAGATGTTCATGAGTGGAGTAAAAATGTTTCTCGATGGCGTCTGTCATTTTGAAAGTAAAATCTTTCAGCTCATCGATATCTTCCTTGACGTTGACCCAAGCTCGCTCAGTGCAATCCTCTAACCGGTTGGTAGCTTTTTGATTCATTTTTAATAAATCTGATATAACTTCATGAATTATTTCGCTCTGTGGAGGTCTTGAGATCATTTCAATGCTCTTCCTCAAGTCCTCCATCTTTCTACTCACACCTCTTTCAATAACATCTTTAATGATTGTCCCAACAGCTTCTGACACCATCTTTGATTGGTCAAGATTCTTGGATTCGTTCAGTATCTGTATCATAATATCTTTCTCCTTCAGGACCTCAGCATATGCCTTTTCCTTAGTCTCAATAATCTGTTTGTAAAACGATTCCTGCTTTTCCATGTCTCTCTTGGCCTTCAACTCGAGTTTTTGTTTGAATTCGTCTTGTTCAATATTTCTGTCACGGCTTTGCGTTCTTATGAAGCCCTCAAACGCACTTTTAATATCATTTACATCTTTTCTGAGTCTTATTATATTCTTATAGTCGGTTGGTGATTGAAATGCAGACGTTTTCCCGCGCAATTCATCGAGTTCTTGCTGTTCTAACTCGGTATCCTCTTTCCACTGCCTTGTGCATCTTTCTGCAAGTGAGAGGTTTCCTCCACTACTATCTTCGTGGGTAAACTCCACTATTTTGCCTTGTCCAGCGGCCGGCCTATCTCGAGATAGTTCCGCCAGTTGTGTTAACAATCTATTCTTCTCTTCTCTTTGCCTGATACCTTCTTCTTTTAGTTGTTTTAATTCGCGATCCCGTTGCGCAAGCTTGGTTTGCAATTCACTAACTTGGATCAGAATCGATCCACTTTCTTGCTTCCGCTGGAGATGACTTTTTAATTTATAATTTTCATTTTGAAGTGATTCTAACTGCTTTTTCATGTTTTCTATCATATTCTCAGGAGTCGTCCCCTTAAATATGGAGTCGATTTTTTTCATTCTTTCATTAGCTTCATCCAGCTTGGCTTGTGTTTGCAGATGTCGTCTTGTTTCGTCTTCCCTAGCGTCCACAGCTTCTTTCAGTGCTGCTTTCATGAAATCATGATCAGCAGGAGTTGGACGATTCTGTCTCTGACTCGCTTCACTTGTTTCTTCAGTCACTCTCATTAGAAGATTCTGAAAGGCATCAACAGAAGCTTTCAATGTCAGAATCTCATTTTCTTGCTCTTCCATCGTGCTGCTTGAAGAAGTTTTCAGCTCTTCGAAAGATCGTTGTGTCTCGTATAAAAGCCTTGAATCTTCATCGTGTTTTGTTTTGGTCTCGTGTAACTTCTTCTGCAACGACGAAATTATACTTTGGTTAACTCTGTCTTTTTCTTCGTGCTTAATAAGAGCTTCTTTTAAAGCTTTTTCTAGCCTAACTACTTGTGCTTCAAGCTTCTTCTTCTTCCTTTCAAACTCTTCTGCCCTTGATATGGATTTTAGCCTGGAGTTTTCATCCTTCAACTCATCTCTTTCACTCATTACTTTGTAAATCTTGTTTGTCAGGTCTTGAAAGGTTTTTTCATGTTGACTCACGAGTTCTTGGATGGCTTTTTCCTTGTCCCGAATGATGGTTTTTAAATATTTCTTGCTTTCGCCATCATAAGTCTCCCACCTGGCTTCTTGAACAGTTTGCTCGTAGTCTGCTTCTGGTTCAACCATCTTTAACATCTGTTTTTCTTTCATTCCTATGATATTTGTCCCAACTTCCAGTGCTTTCCTGTATCCTTTCATTGCAGGTTCAATTTCGTGTTTCAGTTCAGTGATACGCGCCTCTTTCTTTGCGCAGCGATCATGTAGCTCGTGTATCTGTCGTCTTAGATGAAGTTGTTCCTCTTTCAATCGCTTATTCTTCGTCTTAAAACCATGAACGATCCTTTTGTATCCATTCAACCGTATTCTTTGTCTATTCATCTTATCTTTCATATCCTTTTCTTCATACGTCATTAGTTCTGGTGCGTGCGGTCTGGAGAGTACTTCATTGTCATGCTCATTTGATGCGTTGTAAACTTGATAAACTCCTAATAAATCCGCTATTTCGCTACAAGCATCGCTCTCTTCAAAATCCAACTCGTCGCCGCGCTCTTCTTCATCTAGTTCTTCTGACGACAGGCTGTCTTTCTCTGCTTTATCAGAGACGCTTGAATCTCTAGATGTGAGTGGAGACGAGCTTGAATTCACCCGAGGGATACTGGTGCTACTAGTTGGAATAACATCCGTGTCATTAGTCGAGCTTTTTCCAGGTAATACCTCAGGTCGATATCCCGCTAGATTGTCGAATAGAAATTCAGAAGAGTCATAATGTTCTCCCAAATCTGTTCCACTTATTCCAGTAGTTTCATCGTCTTCATCTTCACTTTCTGTCGTTTCCATCTCATCAGACGCAGAGTCACATTCACACGAATTTGCAGAGCTTTCTTCCGCCATTCCTGCACAAGTGTCCTGATGACACATATGCTCAGCAAAACTCGCTGTATGGACGTGAACTAGTGAAGAAGATTTTGCGCCAGTCTCTTTTTTATGCGTGGCTTGATGAGACCGAGGCTTGTCCTGAGTACCAGAAGAAATCTTCACCTGATTTGTCTTGGTTCCTGTGTTTTCCCCCGTGTTTTTGTCGTTCATTGACTCAAGGATTCTACTTTCGTGTGTTTTCTTCTTTGCAAATGTACTTTGTTTTTCTAGTTCAGCTTGTTGTGAAGCAGCAAATCCCTGGGTACGTTTCCCCGCCATTTTCGCTTTCTTCTGTCGTTCTTTTTCTTTTTCTTTTGTCGGAGAGAACCGACCAACTCTGCTCTGTTGTTCAGAACGCCCTACATCTCTTTCATCAGACTTCTTGCCCTCTAACGAATCACTGTCTAGTTGACCCCTCAAGCGCAAGATAGTTTCCTTGAAGATGGAATCCATGATGATTTGTAAAGAACAGAATACACTCTCAAGGCCTGTACTTTCCAGCACAACCTGAGCTGAAGCACTCGGCGTCTCCAAATATTCACGAGACACTTGCATTTTCTTCATCTCCAGTAAAAGACGCTCTCTTTCTCGGTCATGCCACTGAAGTAGTTCAATGATTTTGTCCTTAGTTATGGCTATGTTATCAAGCTGTACAGGCGGATTCTCGAAATGCGCGTTACTAGACAAGGCATTTGCGTCTTGTGCAACCTCCTTCTTTGCATCAGGGGACCTTGAATGGTACACCACTGGTGATGTACGTTTAGATGCTGCGGTTGTCCCGCGCGCATCCGCGTTAGACTTCCTTCTTAATTCAGACAACAAATCTCCCTTCAAGCCTCTAAGCTCGATGTCACTTAAGTTCATTGGCACATTTACAACCAGAGGCTTCTGTTGCTTATCTTCTGTCTTTTGTTCGATTCCTTTGCTAAGAACATCTTCAAGCTTGACTGCAAAATCCGTTTTCCATTGGCTAATCTTGTTGAATGCCTCTCGCTCGATATCAGTTGCATAGTTCTGTGCTTCGCGTGCTGGTGAGGCGGTAGCCAGCGTTACTCTGCGCATGCCCAACCGAGGCGACTTTTTATTTGTCCAGAAGGTTTCATCTTCAATCTCTGCCTCAACCTCAGCCCTAAAATGGATGTCAGCCTGAACTCCCTTCACCTGCAATAAAACGGTAAAATTTACTACTTGTGACTAACAAAGCAATAAGAATACGATGCACATGCATCCCAGCTGCCTCATCAATCATGGCCTGTCAAGCGAGGAATTTTTCCAATCAGTTTATGGATAACTAAAACTTCAGCACTACTTACCAAATTTTCATTTGACATGACATTCTTAGTGACTTCATCAACTAACTGCAGTACCGATCGTCCACCAATTATTTCTTTAGGCGGCCCCCCTCCTTCTCCAAGGTTCTCATCGATAGTGCTCAGATCTGCGCAGAAACTTGGTTTCTTTACTGGATGGCCTTCGTATCTGGTCCATCGCGTTAGCACCTCGTCTTGTGAATCGCTGTCCTTCACGTGGCTGTCAGTTAGACTCGAATCATTCTCAAAATCCCCACTCTCAGCCAACACAAGAATAGAGGACTTGTCCAGATGATCTTGGTCTAGTTGATCTGGTTCTAGTTCTGATTGTTCTGTGGGTGATTCTGATTCTGTTTCCTTCTGGTTTTCTGCGAGTTCTTCAAGAGTCAATTGGAACTGCATTCTCGCGGGAGGTTTCTTTGCTTTTTCAGCACTCTCCAGACTCATGGCCCGAGGACGTTGTCCATCAACTTCTTTCTTGCCTGACAGGGAATTCAAATCTGGTGGTTCTGATAAAGATCTTGTACGTCCATACTCTCTGTCCCACGTGTATATCGCCTCCTCGCGAACCTCCTCTGAGTCTTCACCGTCATCCAAAGGTACAAATAGATCTTTAACGTCATCATCATCGTATATGACGTCATCAGTACCATCCTTATCACGTGCTTCTGCTAGTGCTATTACTGAGATGGTAGGGACATCATTGTCTTGATCATGGGTTGGTAGATGCATACGACTAAAGGACTGGTGTAGATGAGGAGAAGAGGTTGAGTCATGTAGTGTCGTTAGATGCTTGATGTGTGGGAGGTGCATGTAGCTAGTACAAGAACGAATGTCTCCTTTTGTCAATGCTTTGATGATCTCACGACGTGGTGACGTGTCACTGTATGACCGTGGTTTACCAGTAAACTCGGCCAATAGAGGAGGCCTGGTGGTGGTGAATTAAAACAAAAAGAAACTGAGTGAGATATTTTGGAAACTCTTTGAAAACGATGCCGAAGTTCCTTCATTACAATACCATTTGATTATTATATTTGCGCCTGCAATACAAATCAAGCTAGATGTCATGCGCAGTTCCAATGGATTGTGCCAGAGCCCTCGTTCTTCGCCGCAGGCCAGAAGAAACTAGGCTCTGGGTACGAGATTTGAAAAGCTCAAACTATCAGCATGAGCTTTTGTTCCAAGCATTTTAAACAATGATCTAACGCGTAACAAGCACCATAGTATCCCTGTACTTACCAAGGCTTGTTCATCTCAAAATCAATTTGAGTTTTCGTGTCTTTCTCATCATCTTTACTCGAACCAGCTTCTTCATTCAGCTGTTCTCGTCTATTCTTTCCTTCATTAGATTCCACGGCGTCTTGTGCAGCACTTCCCTTCATATTTGTCCTCTCTTTATCGCTCATTTTCGTAACTTTTTTCAAGTCACCTTTCGAATCCTGCTCGTCTTCTTGCTGTTTTCTGATGTTATTTAAAACTTTCTCTACATCAGTGCTGTTTTGTTCTGTTTAACTGTTGTGAAAGAAAGGAATAATTTTGTATAAGCAAGAATTAAGGCTAACACTGATTAGAGAAAATACTGAAAAAAATGATGAGCCTTGATTTAAGAGAATAAAAAGGCAAATTTGGGAGATTGACCACCATTTCCTCACCTTAGGTACGAATTTTAAATGTAAAATATTTATGTCAAGTATTAGATTCCGACTCGCATTGTCACCTCAGCACAGCTGATTATGACGTAATTGATGACATCACAAGATAAACAAAGCGCGCGCTGTTTCCAGACGCAGGTTTTGGTGGATAACTTGCGCATGCTCGTAAGCTTTACAGCCGTAATTAGTTTTGACAATATTTTTATTATTTTCACAAAAGTTATTCAATTTTCACAACAAAATAAACAATTATGGTCTTTTATATATTGCATCCACAAAACTATTTATCGTCGTACGCCGGTCTTTCTTGGTTTTTCTTTTGAAGTGCTTCTTTTTTCGCTGCTTTTTATGTGTCTCTTCACAGCAAGGTGAAATCTTGACCATCACTACCCCACTGGGGTTAACTTTTGCCAGAAATGATCTTTCGTAGATACCGAGGTATTTATGGGCGAACAAGTCTCTTACTTTAGCACGTACAGAACGGATGCCAATCTATTGTAAAAACAAGAGTATGAATAGATGTTAGCTGAATTACTTGAAAACTTGTAAATAAAAAATACAATGAAAACCAAAAAAAGTATTTTTTTCTGACGACGAACCCTCCAAAATGGCGCCTCAATGAAAACAGGCATGTCATCTCGCTTGCTTAACAACGCCACAGCGACGTTTCCGTCGCTAAGGTAACGGCGCCAGACCTCAGTGTTTGTCTTTTTGTTCTATAAAAAAAGAGTATACGATCATACATAGAAAAATATCCATGATGGGTGACGTGATGATAATGTGACGTCATATCACGTGACCTGTCAATCATACCTGGTAAACTCTTCTTCCTTGTCTTCCAAGGCTGTCTTGATTGACATCAATAATTTCCCTGAAAAAATTAAGGTTAGTAAGATTAATCACCATAGCAACCATAGTTACCATAAAAACTTGTATCTTACTTGTTAAGAAGGATTTTCCTCGATCTTTCGTCGATGTCACGCAAATCATTGGACATGAGGAGAGGCTGGGACGAGAAAATTGAATTAATCATGAAAATCCTCTGAGGGGAGGGGTGCGGAAAGTTTACTCACCGCTGCTAGAATGGCCCAAATGGCGAACTGTGCACGCGACTGTTCGAAACTCAAACCAAAGTTCCCAATAATAAGCTAAAAAGGTACGAGAAGTGTTAGTTGGTTTAAGGGACGTTAAGGAGCAACCTACGTGTATTGTACTTACCATATCAGGATCATTCCAGTGCCCAGGACCCGCCACTTTGATGAGTGTGTTCTGATTATCACCAAACCAGTTTATGATGTGCTGTAGACTAGACCACGAATCCTATCGTAAACAACTAATTGTCGTGAGCCGTGTGAAATGTGCAGCAGTTAATGGGCTCTAAATCTTATAACTTTGTAATGTATAAATTGGCAAAGCATGGCGGAGTGAGTATTGTTATTGAATATTACTCCTCGATCGATAAACATAAAAACCTCACCTGAATGTCACCATAATTGCGCCATAAATTACAGAACTTTCCAATGGTCTTGTAATCTGGCTATAATAAAAGAAAACAATCGCCAGTATGACTTCACATGGTTGATTGTACTAGTTGCTATAGTAACCTACTTACGTCTATTTTTGCATATACTTGATAAGCTGGCCAACTGCACGAGTACATGATTGGCCGTGCTGTCCTGTTCAGCGCCCATGAAAACAACGGGTATCCTTCATCCATGGCAAGTGGACTAGCATAGCAGCCATCGAGCTTCAAGTAATCTACTCCCCACTCGGCAAACATCTACAAAACAATCCAAAACATTACAAGTCATTGATGTCTATATGATTTCCAATGGGTTGCCATGGTGATAATGTCCTTACCTGAGCATCCTTGTACACGTGATTGATACTCCCAGGATACCCTGCGCACGTCTTGGTCCCATAGTCTGTAGGTACAAATATGGGTTACTCAACATTGGTCCTAGTCTTGGTGATTCTTGTACATGAATATGTTTTTATTTACCTGCATATAACCCAAACTTGAGTCCCTTTGAATGGATCTTAGAAAGGAAAACAAAAAAAACATTCATTGATGGCTGAGCTGGTACAACTGTTTCGTTCATGCAGACATAGTGACATCAGGGATGAAGATACTGTTTATGTACAGTTGTAATCTAACTGTGCGCCAGGGCCAAGGATCAATGAGAAGTGGCTGGAACTATTGCAGATACATTTGTAGAAGACTTTGTATTTAGAATAGATTGGGAATTATTTCTCCAAGGTAGAGAGGTCTCTTACTAAACGTCGATGTACTTACATAGTCTGCTAGCTTCTTCATGCCACTAGGAAATCGTTCCAAGTCTGGTACAATCCTACCATCTTTACTTCTGTTCATGGCGGACCAGCAGTCCTAAAGATGGGTCAATGGAAACGTTTATTGCAGCCAGAACCAAGAGAGGGAGGGGTAGGAGTGCACAGTATGGAACCAACCAATAAAATAAACACATCAACGTATATCTCGAACTAGCTTCGGACTTCTCTGAATGCAAGTCTTACAGTAAAACGCGGAACATCTTGCTGCACTATGTAGTATGATGCCAATACTTACGTCAATACACACGTACTCATACCCAGCCTCTTTAAATCCATCTGACGCGATGCGGTCTGTTATTTCTTTAATGAGACGTTCGCTACAAATCAAATACAATGATGTAATCTTTTGTCAAGTGACGTCACAGTTTGAAATGACGTACATAACGCTTTCTAGTTTGTTAAAATAGAATTAAAAAATGACGTCATATTGTGTCAAGTGATGTCACAGTTTGGTATAACGCACATAACGTTTTCTAGTTACTTAAAATGAAATAAAACAAAATGACGTCATATAGTGTCAAGTGACGTCAGAGTTGGTCATGACGTAACATACCTGATACAGTTTTCTGGGTCGTTTTTACAATCCACGTTACATCTGAACCTCTCCCATGCCATCCAGCCCACTGACGTGAAAATATATACATCCAATGAACGTTAGTTATATGATTATCAACTGTAAATCAAATCAATTCGAGTTCTAATTGGCTGCTAATAATAAGGCGTGTTTTTTTTTTCACAGGAAACCTCTCAACTGCTGCATGTATCACAGATCAGATGTATTTTGCGCGCGGGATGAACAAATGTAAACCAAGTAGAAATTAGCCATTTTTTATGGAAACATCATGATATCAATCAGGAATTCAATGAAGTAGTTGAATAATGTTTGGACTAAATTTTTTAAGTACAACCGGAAGCAAGACTACCTGTTACTCGATTTGCTCCCGAATATAGCTGTGTTCAGATAATTCACTTCAAAATACCTCTTAAAATAGGTTGGTTAATAAAAAGATCTCGGTCTTAGATCCCAGGTGAGGTCATTACTATACTTACTTGGCGGTGTTCGAGCCAATCCGTTGTCCAGAGCATTCAGAGGCAAAACAACACTGCAAATGAATAATAAGACTGGCCCCAGCGATTGAACAGATACCATCATCTTTATACAAACTATATGATCCAAGCCAGTTGGCCGGTTTGAAAAGGCTTTTCGTGTCGCGAAAAAGGTTGTGCAGCTTTTCAAAGTGTCACTCGGCTATAATAATTTTTCTCACTCGGTGAAAAAAATCAATTTCGTTGACTAGAGCTAACGGAAAGTTACTGCTATTGTTACTGCTAGACGTCGCAGCGATCGTTACAAAAGGTGTTTATGTTAACAGTACCGGTGGCTAGCTGGTTCAACGTGTTGCCCCACGTTTATAACACCGTTTATTTTGATGGTATAATGAAATTCAGTTAGATTGACAATGAAAATAGTTGGTACCTTAATTTACAACAGAATAATCAATATATATATTAATAATAATAAGCTTAATTTGGTAAGAGCTAGCTGAAATAACCATAAAGGGGTTAACGAGCCAGTTAGCTCTAACAGTTACTGTTAACAAATGTAGCATTTTAAACCGACTTTGATTTAAAAAGTAAAAGTAGCGAAGATAACGAGAGAGAATATTTAGATGATTTATTCAAGGTTGATGGATATTTTGGATGAGTTTTAGATATTAAACATCGCTGTAGCAAATAATAGCCGGCCAAGCAGGAAAAGATAACTAGTTAGGCCCTGTTCACACGGCGTATCCGGATAGTCCCGTTTACGAAAAGCTGTGTGTTTTCAAGTGGCGTATTCATCAGATACGTGTGGACGGAAGGCCAATCAGAAAAGAAAAAAATCCTTTTTCAAAAAGATCCGGATACGTGTGGACGGAGCCTTATACTACACAGAAAAACAGAGAAACGACGATTTAACAAATATTTTTTAATATTTTGTACTAAAAAAGTGAAGAAATCGCATAAAAACTTTTTACCTTCGAAAATAAAACGTCTAGGCTTTTGAGCTTTCCTTTAGCAATTAAATTTCAGTTTTTTATTGGTTTTATGTTATGACATTCATGTTTTATAATATTCCAATTTGATGTATTCTGATTTATCAACAAATATGTAGCGGCTTCGTAATTTAAGGAATAATTACTGATGCTATCGTTGCTCTTTATGATACCGGTGTCATTTTGACCATCACTACCCCACTGGGGTTGACTTTAGCACTGAAGGAATTCTCAAACACACCAAGATCTTCATGAAGGTAAAGGTCTCGTACACTGGCTTTAGAAGACTGAATACCAACCTACAGACAAGAATAAGAAGCGCTGTTATAGTTAAGCCTGCAGTCGGATATTTTGGGTCTTGTTTAGGCGGCATGGGATGATGCGGCGCTGTATCTCACGGCTGTGTTGTTCAAGCCTGGGGTCGCGCATTCGTCCCGGGTAAACCACATATGTGGGTTGAGTTTTGTTCACCCCTGTTGCACATGTCAACGGTGATATGACAGGGAGGGGAGGGGGTGCACGGTGACATATTCTCTGTCACATCATGTGCGCACATGTCTAACTCAGAACTTCGTACTTTTGATATAGTCACTAAGCCATGTCAACATAAAAGGTTAGGGTTAGGGTTAGGGTTAGGGTTAGGGTTAGCAACCCATCATTGTAACCCTAGTACCCTATCACTTACCAGTTTGAACGGTGCTTCCATATCAACAGGCTGATCAGTACGGCGACTGAACAACACGACAGCAACAGTGCCGTCAGACAGCTTCTTGGCCCAGATTTCTTCATTATTACTCTATAAAAAAGATTGACATTAGAAAAATGAATAGCAGGAAAAATGGGAATGAAATGTGACCCATGCGAATAGGAATGAGAAGTGATGAACAAACCTTAGTCAGCTGTCTTCCTTGGATGCCCAGTTTGTCTTGATTAACAGCAATAACTTCCCTGTAAAATTAATGACATCGACAAACTGAACGTTAGTATTTTCCATGGAAAGCTATGAATAGAATCAAAATCCATGTTTACCCACATTAGGCTACATCGGCATAAATCTAGTACTCTTGCTAAGTTGTTTGTCACAAGGGAAAGACCAAACAAGAAAAACCTGTCTAACCTGTTAAGTAGGATTTCTTTAGCCCAGGATGCAATAGTCCGTAGATCAGCTGAGATGATCAAGGGCTAAAATAGAATACACATAAAATATTTTATTTTTATTTTTAAACATTTTATCTTGATATAAAATTCGAAATTATCTTATATTCCAAAAATATCCACAGACCACTCTTCATCCTGGAGACTCAAGTTTCCCCATGGGGAGGGAGGGTGGGGATTTTACACCTTTCTACCCTCTGGGAGTTTCAAAGGAAATCCAGAAAGTATACCCTTTATAAAAGCTCTGTTTTCTTCTATAAGAATGCTATCAATATTTTCTGATTTTCTGATATAATCCTAATAAATTATGGATTACCAGTTGTCAATATTGCACAAACTTGTAACTGCAAACTGTGAGCACTGACATTTAGTTATTTGCAGCCATCAATCAAAAATCATCATGCAATACCATTTTTATTGTTTGACTTGCAACAGTAACAAATTTCAATGTGCAACACACAACTATTGAGTTTGGGTAAGAATGAAAATTAAAGTAATATTTGATGTTAATGCACAGTAAAGTTTGTCGTTCTTATCGAGGGTTTTACTTACAGAAGCCATGATGGCCCAGATGGCAAACTGTGCTTTGGATTCATCTTCACTCAAACCAAAGTCTCCAATGATCAGCTGTAAAAACATTTGAATATCTGTTAGGTTTATTCTGGTTTTGAAACAAGTCTCACATCTTTTGTCTTTTATATCCTGTTTGTAGGAAGATAGTTGGGTGGGTAGGTGAGTGCATTGCTAAATGAGAGCATGGGTAGGTGAGTGTATAGGTTGATAGATAGGTAAGTTGGTAGGTGGGTGGAGGGTAGGTATGTCAATCTTTAGGTAGGTAGGTAGGCAGGTAGGGTAGGTGGTGGATGGGTGGGTAGGCAGGGTAGGTGGTGGATGGGTGGGTAGGCAGGGTAGGTGGTAGATGGGTGGGTAGGCAGGGTAGTTGGTGGATGGGTAGGTGGGTAGGCAGGGTAGGTGGTGAAGGTTGGATAGGTAGGATGTTAAATAGGTGGGCAGGTTAGGTATCGACAGACATAGACATATATGTATAGACAGGCAGGAGGGATGTAGATAGGTGGGTGGGTGGGTGGTGGGTGTAAATACAGAACGTTACCTCATCTGGGTCATTCCAATGTCCAGGTCCTGCTGCTGGGATAAGAACATCTTGCTTTTTAGCATAGTAATCTATAATACTTGTAACACTATCCCATGAATCCTAAAGAAAGTAATAATGATAAAGATATGGAGGGAGATGGTAACAGGATATTTACGACTAAACACTGATGACCTTGAGACAAATCAATCAAGGTTCATTTTTTATTGCAGGTTGACTCTGGCAGCCATTATTGGTTGGGAAAGAAAAAGGAAGGCTAGGTTTACCTGAATGTCACCATAGTTTCGCCATAGGTTACAGTACTTTGCTATTAACTGGTAGTCTGGCTAGAAGATACATGGAATGAACAATTATTACTATCATTAAATGATCATTATTATTACAGCCCAACATGCAAAAGTATGACCACATTAAATATTTTTGCATACTTCTATGCACAGGCTTTTTGCTGCCAAACAAGCTTATTATTTGCCTTATTTGGTAAAACCAGCGAGCTTTGCATCGAAATATGTTGCCTTAAGCATAAAAGAATGCAATACACTATTGCCAGTCATAATTTTGCATGGTTTGCTGCAGTACTGAATCATTTTATGATGATGCTTTCAATGGTATCAAAGACATCTTATGATTACCTCCAATCCTTTACCAACCAAATAGGCTGGCCAGCTACAAGAAAACACTATTGGTCTTCCTGTGTCATTTAATGCCTTTGTAACTTTTGGGTACCCTGTGTCAAATGTGGTAGGATCGGCATAGCAACCATCAAGCTTAAGGTAATCAACTGTCCAGTTGGCAAATGTCTGGAAAAATAATTATCAATAATAATTTATTGATAAATAATATTTTCAAAAAACCAATATTTTGCTGAAGAAAAATAATATCGATTTTTATATGTTAAGTGTATGCTATATCGATTTTGTACTCCAAAACCACCTTTGGGATGATCTAAGGTTAAATAAATAATTTATTTAATATGAAATACCTACGTTCATATCCTGTTGAATGTGCTTGATAGATCCAGGATAACCACCACAGGTCAGAGTCCCATAATCTAATAAATAATAGTAATAAATAATGATTACATAATGATAACATTGATAGCAATGATGGTGGCGGTGATGATGATGATAATTATTGGCATGATGATGATGATAATGGTGACGATAATGTTCATGGTGATGATGATGGTGGTGGCAATGATGTTGATAGTGATGACAATAACCATAGTGATGTTTATAATGGTGATAGTACTTTGTACCTACCTGCATAAATGCCAAACTTTAATCCCTTAGAATGAATCTACAAAATAGATATTAATTAACAAAGAGTATTGAGTGAAGAATAATAAAGAGCATAAGGTTTTGATTGACATAAGGAAACTAACATAATTCGCTAGAGCAGGAATTCCATTAGGGAACCTTTTGGGGTCTGGCTGCAGCTGCCCATCAGATGTACGGTTATGGGATGCCCAGCAGTCCTGCAGAACAATTAATATTGAATATATATTAATTTATCATCATATACATCAGCCTAGAGACATCCAAAATCTTTCTTTTTTTACATTTTTAGAGATGATATCAAATAACTTACATCGATGGATACATATTGATAACCAGCATCTTTGTAGCCATCATTAGCCATGTGATCTGCCATAGCCATGAATAGCTTCTCACTATAAAATACATAACTCTAACCATTAGAATAAGCCTTTTCCGAGTTCATTTAACATGATGCATTGGGTTCTAGATTGGGTATAAGCAACACCATACGAGGCATGGTGAATCAAAGGTGTTGGTACTCAATCTACACCACAATGCACCATGCTTACTATATCTGATAGCAGATCTATAAGCAATGTAGAAGTCATTCAATAGAGTGATCCAAGGTTAATGGATGCCATCTTGCCAGGGGTGCAAAAGCATTGGGGCGAGCGAGTGGCCAACGCATCATTATGCCAAAACATGCTCACACATGTTTTTGTGAAAATGACAAGCAGTTTCCCAATCTTTGGACTGCAAGATCGCATATGTTAAAGACCTGAAATTCTATAAGTGGCCAAGAACACTTGGCAAGATGGCATCCATTAACCTTGGATCGGTCTATTAAGTCATCATTAACTGGGTACCTGATGCAGTTATCTGGATCTTTATCGCAATCAATGTTACACCGAAAACGTTCCCATTGCATCCATCCCACTACAAGAAAGAAGGATTAAAAATAATAATCGCTAGGTATTAGAATAAATTTAAACTCCTCTACTTTTACCAATTTGTATACTAGTCTATTATGCTTTTCGATCAAACCCTCCCCCCCCCCCNCCCCCCCCCTTTCATACACAATCAGAAAAATGGAAACGATGAACAGTGCCCCTAAGTTAACCAATAAATCGATCGAAGACCATGAAGTACGTGAATATAAAAGGATATATTAAATTAATATATCTGACAGTTAGCTGGACGATTATTTCTAAAGGCAAAATGTAGAAGTATTTCGCGAAGTTTTTTATGGAATGTATGATGTTTGTCATGTGACATTATATCAGGATACTATATCGAGATTACCGTAACGTACAGCGAGTATAGACCGTATAAGACTTACTCGGAGGTGTCAATGCAAGGCCATTATCAAGGCAGTTTACACCAGAAAGAATGCATACAATTATTGCTGAGAAAAGAGTTAGAAAAGAAAGAAATCTTGGACATTCCATCTTGACAGAAGACTTGCTCGATCAAACCTTCGATTTGACGACCAATCGCAGAATACAATAGATACGACCAATCAACGGGAACCGGCGCTCCGACCAATCAAAATTCAATATCAACAGAGGTTTATCTGTGATTGACCAATCAGGAGGAAGGATAGAAATAAGCTTCAACTGAACCGCGGATTTCAAATAATCTTCCAAAATGGCGGAACTTTCATTAGTGAAAACTCCTGAAGAATGGTGGCCTTCAGGGCTTAAATTACTGGAATTAGAGTACGAGAACTCGAAATTACTTGTTCAACAAGATGGATTGATGTTTGAAAAGTGGAAAACAGACATCGATCTGTTGATAAAGGACGAAAAATTGCACAGAGAATCTCGAAGTTGTGAGAAGTTGAGCCAAACGAGTAGAGAAGATAAACGACTGCTACAGGTAAACAACAAGACCAGTTACATTATAGATATCGAGTATTCCGATGTAAGAGAGCGATAATTGACGTGATTGCTAGATATTTATATTCAAAGCACCTTATTCACAAAATCAAATCTTAAAGAATTGGGATGCGTAGTTTTGTTTACATCTAGGGAAACCTAGAAACGAAAAATGTTGTAAGGATTGTCTATTAAACAGTTACTGTAAAAGATATCTTACGATCTAAAGACAACAAAGATAAAACATTATTAGCTTAAAACACTCTTGTTATGTTTGTGTTATTAACTTTTTCTAGGATCAAATACAATCTTTGGAGAAAGAACTGAAAGGATCTAAAGAGACACTTTGTCAAACGAAGGAATCCCTAGAGGTATGAGCTATGAATGATTTGCTCACAACAAATACTGTTTATAGCGTCTTTAACTTCATTATGTACTTTGTTTATAGAATGTCAAAGAAAAAAGTAAGATTGAGAAAGAAAGACTGCAAGAAAGATTGACAATAGAAGCGGAGGAAAGACATGTTAAAGAACAAGAAAAATTCAAAAAAGAAAAAGATGGTTTGAACGAAGAAATAGAAAAATTGAAGGTACGAGGAATCGAAAATTATGATCAACCAATCTTTGAAGCTAGAGGAGCATGTCTAAAGCACTTGATGGCAAATTAAAGGCAGTATCAGAATTACACTCCATTTCCTTCAAACAATTATTGTTTCAAGAGGTGGCATTGAAGTTAATACAATAAAATGTATACAAACTGACCCAAATGCAACAACTGTTTAAAGGCAATATTGTATAACTCTGATATCTGCTATTTGAATTTAAGAGTTGATTTTTATGGAGAGAGGAAAAGCAGACAAAAATCCTTGAAACACAGGAGAGAACTGACAAGCAGCTCTACTCCAATACAACACCTAGCCAGGTTATTGCATCCCATCTGCATTGGTGAGAGGCAGCACATTAGCAGTGTATCCAACCCATGCCTTCAATTCCTATACACATTTTAAAGATAGTAGAAGGCCCTAGAGGATTGATACTAGTGTAGTAGCAGGAAGGGTATTATCGAAAGAAAAAACATATGCCAGGGGGGGGGGGGGCAAAGGGGGGGCTGAAAACCCCCCCCCCCCTTCAGCAGAAAAAAAAAACAAAACAAAACTGAAGAAATAGAAATGGAAGAAACTCAATTAGCCCCCCCCGCCTAAAATTTTGGCTGGATCCGCCCTTGACTGTACCATGTTACTTGACCTAATGAATGAATGTTTTGTAGAATATGAAAGAAAAGTTAGAATTGGAAATGAGAGAAATGGAGAAGAACCTGAAACAAGAAGCAGATGAGAAATCCAAACAACAAGAAAAAGAGGCAAATGGCAAAATAGAAAATCTAAATAAAGAACTCCAGACATGGAAAGTAGGTGTTTGCTGTTTGTTGCTTTATTTCTTTTTTTACCTACTTGTTTGTATGTTTACAAAAAATTACATTATATGTGTAGACCTCTTTAGGTTGGATTTAATGTTTTCCAATTTAAAAGCATGTCATCCCCTAGAGTATCATTTCTTTGTTTAATGGTTGCAAATGACATGACAAGACACATGAACATGTTTAGAACTCAAAAAAAGAATCGTATTCTCAAGAGAATGGCATGTGGTCTGCATTAAAAAGATATCTGTTATCTCTATCATAGGAGAGACATGCCAAGGCAGTCCAAGAGGTAGATGATGTTCAGAGAGAATTAGCAAACAAGACTATTGTTTCCAAGGTACAAATTCTGCTTCCATTTAACATTTATTGGGTGTCTATTTAATAGAATAGTAGATATATTATTATACCTCTGACTGCCCCTGTAAGGAAGTTTGCATGAATCATAGAATCTGTGTGATTGTAACCTCAGGCGTGAAGTACAATCTTTGATGATATTTTTTTGGTTTTTTTAATAAAAGACTAAAGCAACACAAACACAGAAGAAGATGGCAAACAAGGCTGTGATGGTGGAAACAGAATGTGCCACCATAGGTATCCAAGCAGAAATACTAACTGATTGTGACAAAGAAGGCGAGATAGTTCCCAAGAAACAAAGCAAAGCAATAAGAAAGAGCGTACATGATAGCTGTAAGGATTTGGAATCTTTAGAACAAGCAACTGATGGTGAAAGAGGCCAACAGTCTGACAAGCAACTAAAGAAAAACAGACATGACAGCAAAGCAGAAACTAATGGAGGTCTAAAGAAACAAACACAAAAACGAACGAGAAATTCACGAAAAAACGTCCAAAGTAAACAGAAGAAAACTTCAGATAACGAAGATGGAACAGGAAATGATGAGGAGCACAATGGTCATGTACGCGGGGATGTCTCTACCGGACCACAGGAAAACGTGTCTTCTGAGACACACGACGATGTACCTACCGAGATGAACGTGGAGGTAGCTACGGACACAGAGAAGGATACACCTACCGGTGCGAAGTCTAACTCACGTACAGGAGCACAGGAAAATTTACCTACCGGCGTAACGGAGAACCAATCGACTGGACACCAAGCACCGGACAAAGAATCTTCTAATCAAACCGTAAAAAGAGTGCGTAAGAGAAAATGTACCAAGGAACCTTGTAAAATAGATGAATCAAATGCGAAGAAAACCAAGTCAAGTTGTAAAAACAAAGGTTCAGTGGAGGATAAGGAAGTAGAAGAAAAAGACAGTCGCGACGCGCCGGGTGATAATGGTCAGCAGAAGAAACCTAGTGTTAGAGACAAGACCGAGACATCAAGCAATTCTGACAAGCAACGAAAAACATCTGAACGAAAGAAGAAGGAAAACATCTTGAAGGATAAAAATGGAGGCACAAAGCCTGTTACCGCCAATGGCATGAGGTGAGTTTATTCAGACACTTGTTTCATTGATAACATTATTGAATATTGTATGACCGTGTCGTCTCATAATCAGACGTCATAGGAGCGCCCTGTTTTGCACAGGCACATACAGTCTAACAAATGGGTTAAACGTGGTAGTTAAAAAATTGTTCATGTATACGATGAAGAAGGTATGTTAATCTGTATTACTAGCAGGGATTATTTCAAGCTACTAGATAGAAATAGGCAAAGAAAAGGAAACATGCCGGAAGGGATGGATTAAACAGTTACTGTATCCCGGGCCATAAATCCTATTATAAAGTCACTAACTGCTGCGAGATTAGTATTGACTTACGTGGATAGTCTAGGGTACAGACAGACGATGACGGAAGGATGACCCATAACGTGCTGGTCCTACCGCGACACAGTCAGTAGAGACGCCAACAAGACTGATATCCTACTGAACAGTTCTATGATCCACCACGTGTCGATATTAATATCTTATTAGTATAACTTTATTTTATTACTTTCTTTCCATATTATAGTAAGACCAAATACCCCTCAACCCAGCCATCAATGGGTGACAGGACACGACAGTCGAGTATCGCCGAGATGTCTAGTATACTAAACGGAACGAAGCGACAAAGGACGTTGTACAATACGAAAGACACTTCACTCATGGTGTCCATCTTGCCTGTACAGGTAAAAACTTGATAATAGAGGGGGGTCATCCTTTCATGATGATACTCCTGGGGAGGGATGGGTCAGTTGTTGATACTCCTGGGGAGGGAGGGGTCAGTTGTTTATGATGATAACCCTAGGGAGGGAGGGGTCAGTTGTTTATGATGATAACCCTGGGGAGGGAGGGGTTAGTCATTTATGATAACCCTGGGGAGGGAGGGGTCAGTCATCTATGATAACCCTGGGGAGGGAGGGGTTAGTCATTTATGATGATAACCCTGGGGAGAGAGGGGTTAGTCATCAAGGAAGGGGTCATTCAGTTCGTTGGTTCATGATGTATAACCCTACATTCTTGTATTCGTAGGAATCCTTTATGAACTCCACCATGTCTCGAGGAAACAAACCCAACGGAACCATGCCACCGTCACTTTCCGCATTCATGAGGAGCTTCATTGCACCTAAACTGAAAAAGAAATCCTCTTGATTCTGGGATGCCTGTGCCGTACTTCACCACAGGTACCCCAACCCCTGTAAATAATAGGAATTTATTTGAGTGGAATGCCGATCTACTCATTATCTGCCTCTTCTATTGTATCAAAGGCCTTTTAGATCAATCTTAACAATATCAATACTTAGGATTCTATATATATATATATCACCCAATCAATGAGCACTTGAGTAGCCGTTTCTCTCGTGATCAATATATCCATTTGACAAGAACCAACAAGTGAAGTAAAACGATCTGCGATAAGCCTACAGACCTCTTATTGAATTAGACATGATAAAATGCTATTCAAGTTATTCCTGGATGTTTGACTGACTGTTAATGGCGGGTAGTGGGCGTTAGCTACACGTGCGCATGCACGCCTTACCGTACCAAAACAAACAAGTTAAAAGCTTTGTATTGCTTTACCAGTAGTCTTACCAGTACAAGTAAAAACATGATTATGCTAAAGGTTGTAGATGATGGATATTGATAGAAAGGCAGGGTAGACTTCTTGCCGCCGACCAATTGCTCGATACACACGTTACAGTAATAAAAAACGCTTTTCGTCAATAACTTTCGTTTTTTTCTACCATTTGTTGTTATCTCATCCTTCGACGGAGACATAGCGACGCTTTTTCACTTTTTTCAATTTCGCTTTTATCAAGAAAGCTTATCGCGTTGTTTGGGTTTTTGAAAGTTAAAGGGTTTTTCTAAACATTCGATCTTATTTTTGACTTAATGTGTACTTTACGTTCAGAGTATGAAGCTGATTAATCGTTACAAAACCTCGTACGTGTTCTGTCAAGGTCGGATTTCACGGGTGAATAAGTCGAGAGCCCATATAACTTCTTGTTTACGAAGCGAGTATCAATTAGCTCGTCTAACTCAAGGCTGGTATGCAGAATTAATGTTCGATGAATAAAATCAATATCATGAGAAGTACTCTCGAGATCTTGAACAAATTGGAGTTTGTCTTGTACTGGTTTTACTTAATGGATGGTAATTTCTGAAGATTGTCCGGGATGCTTTGCGCTTAAAGACACACCTTACAGAAAAGTCGATCGAAATATCTTATCAAGGTTACAGACCGGCGAATATCGCATTGGTTACCATGGAGTATTGCTAACGTGCCGTAAACATACCTAGCAAAGCACTATTCGAGTTGAAATATTATCAGTACAGATTATATTAGCTATTCTCAGTCAATCGCGAGACTAGCTATATATATTGTGTTGTATTTAGTTGGGAGTGAAAGTTTCTATCCCTCGCAAGAGTTGTTTTCACAGATCTATGGGATGTTCGAGGGGTTTAGTTGATATTGTCGATATCGTTCCAACTTCTTGCGTTTTCAATAATCGAGCTTTAATAGACTTTTTATCGCTATCGACAACGGAATCAAAAAGTAAACAATTTGATACAATCGCGGCGTCAAAACATCACTTTACTTACGATGTACGGTTCTTTATACGATCAGAGTAAACAGCGGCTGTAACATAAGCGATCGAGCAAAATGAATGGGGCGGTACTTCCGTATAGCAAAAGTAGAGAACATAAATAAATGGCTGTGTCCTGGGGAACAAAAAACGTCTTACAAACTAGAAAAGTCGGCCTATAAAAGTTACGTACCAAGGATTTCGTACGTGTGGTTTGTCACTGTATTTCGTTCTTGTTTCATCAAGAATAAAATTATAAATATGGAGAGAAAAGAAAGAATAAATAGAAGGGAAACAAAGAAGCAGAGAGTAGCCTAAACTGACATCAGCTCTATTGAAAAATAATCTCAATTAACTTGGAAGGCAATTAAACTTTTTTCTGACAAAATGAAAACTAATAAATACTAGATTATCAATACTAACAATGAATTTTTACAAACCATTGTCGTAAGAAATACTTAGGTCATGAATTATTCCTTAACCACCATTGTGAAGCATATATTGAATTAGGACATTTTTCAAGTCAATGTCACTAACTGTGCAGCGGTGTTTTTAGCTTTCCTTTCACAAGATACCAAACAAAGGTACCTTTTCAGTAGGGGGCATAACTACACTCTCTCTAGGGGTCCTTCTAATGGTATTACGTCACTACAATGTGGTGATTCTATTGGCTAACGTCTCTCTGTGGGTGAGGGAACTACTTGTAGCTAAAAGCTAACTGGATGTTATGCGCTAAAATATAACTGATACACCTGTCAGCCAAGCATTATGGAAAATATTTGCTTTATAATATAATGCTCCCATTTTTATGTTATCATTTTATTTATTTGATCTCTTTCCTTTGGTGCTGTGAATTTTATTCTAAAAACAATATCGGAAGTTTTGTCTATTTTGATGACGGTTCGTCCTTGTTTACTAGTCCCTTTGGTTCTCTATAGATCGATATAAACTGCACTTAGTATTTTTTGCTGTCTTATCTAATCAATATGGTTTCCATATGGATCGAATGTGCTTCTAAAACGATTCTTGTCTTGTTAGTGAAGATAGAATAGATAGGATAGATTCCTTATTAAAAACGGCAAAAACACTATAAATGAAATAAAGGCGGAAAAAAGCAAGGAAAGACAAACGAAATGCTGCAGGAAAATCAGAGAAAAACTGCAAAAGGAACAAGATATAACACGATAAACACAAGAAAAAAACTCCGAGGATAATAATTAAGAAATACCGCCCCGACTAAACTGCAAACCGTTTCCATTAAATAAGAAAGGTTCTCAAAAACACATAACTTATATTTGTGATATTTATCCTATTTTTTCCTTTCGTTTATTTCCGTTTTCTGATTAATTCTTCTCGCAATTTATCTACGACTTTTCTTATTATGGTAGAACTTTCTAACTCTGTCGTTTAGTGTAACGCTTCCTGCAGCTGTGCATAGTGTCTATAACGATCTCTGGGTGTCCAATATGCTAGGTAAAGCAGATTATATATAAATTATCAAGGAGTTCTCTTATCTCCTCCTTGGTGATGCGCGCTTTAGGATCTCAAATTCCACTAGAACGTCTCTTAATTTTGGGTCGGTTTCATTCTTTAGATCTGCCGATTGAATCCTTTGACAGAAGATTTTAATAGCTTTAAACGATGAACAAGATTGCAGTTCAGATAAACTGGAAGTATAGATGTCCATCTGTATTGCGTGTTTGTTTATATCTACACGATATGGTATTCACTTTATATCGCGATTAGCTTCTATCGCGATTGACATTGGCCTCGGAAGAGCGTTCGGTATTTGAACTCGTTTGTTAAGAAAGGTTTTCCAGTTTGCCTCTTTTTTTTTTTTTTTTTTTTTGATTACATTTTTTTTTTTTTTTTTTTTTTTTTTTTTTTTTTTTTTGATTGACTGTTTCCATTCGATGTTGAGTTGGCGGTTTTTCTTTTTCTTCTTTTGTTTTAATTATTTAGTTGTTATTGATATTTAATGTTTTTTAGCAGCCTCATCTTTTTCTGTTTTTCTTTGGATTTACCTACTAATAAAATCTAGGAAATGCTGTATGCAATTCTCAAGAATTCAGTTGTAAATAATAAAAAGCTATTCATTTTCTAACATAAGTCAAATACGTGGTCTTTTTGCAGTGCATTATCAACATCACGTCTAAACCAACCTCCAGTTGCGGAAAGTCATTTAAACTCCGTCTTTAACAAGTTAGCTGCTAAAATTCAAAGCCGTCTCGCACGCGGTGATTGTTCAATCTAGAAAGCAAACAAATCGAAAGTCGCCAATGGTAAATTAAAAAAAAAACGTCAAGAAAAATTTAACTCGACATTGTTTTGTAAACTGCAGAGCCGTGTTTTGGCAAGCAGTTTTGTTTAGCAATAGCCTGGGGCGAAACTCGAAATTAAAACTTTCACAGTCAAACAGAACTAATATTCGTGTTATTTTTAGTATATTTCTGAAAGAAAATGTTTATTTGACTCCTGAAAGTAATTTCTAACGCCTTTAAGAAGATGATTTGTAAAGGTTGAGTTTGACTGACGTCGCTGGCAATGAATAAGGTTTTTGAGTGCGAGAGTTGTAGACTTCAACTAGTTTACTTAGATTCAGAATTATTTTGACTAGATTAGTACTAATATCCTATAGAATGTTATATGCATTCCTCTTATTGGTTCGATGGTAATGACAACCAAAACTGAGGGAAACAAAGCGAGCACACGGCGGCCATTTTAACAAGAACGTTTCGCTTTTATAATTTGAATTTGATAACTTTACAAGTGAATGTTTATTAGATGTAAAAATACCTATTAGTCATTATTCATATTTACTTGTTTATCTTTGCTATGGCAATCTTACGTGGATATCACAAAAATGTTTGTTCTTATGTACCTTTATTGTGTTTAGTTTGGCCAAGAAGTTTGCGGTCAAAAGTATTAAAAAAATAACATTCCTGTTCAATCTTTCCTTTCCTTTATTTTCTTTCCTTTACTTCCTTCAATTTTATTGCTTTCTGTATTATTTTAAAAGCCTGTTTTAAAATAATGTCATAATAATCAATAATCCTCTGAATATTGTACAATGAATTTTATATTCAGGTAAAAAACTCTACACGGGACTAGTTTAATTTTAATATCTTTCGTCCATAGCAGCCTTGGGGCATATCCTCCCTATTTTACTCTCGTAGATCAGCTTTGCTATCTATCTAATTGTTTCGTGGTAATAGCCTTTGTCTAAAGACTAACAAAAAACCCGAGGGTTGGCTAACGACTAACGGGTTGCTGGTTCAACAGTGAAAGGTAAAGACGAGTACGATGCTAAACTGTATTCTTGTAGATTTTATGAGTTCGACCCTGATGTCTAGTAATTATGATCCAACAATATTCAAGAAGTCATCGTGAGATTATGCTTGTTAAGCCGTATTGATAACCTAAGCCACTTGAATCGCAATTTCAAATAACTTAGTTGTAACCATTGACATAGGGCTTCAAAATGGTTATCTATTTTCTACAGAAGATAAAACTCCTTCGGTCAGTAACCTATACGATGTAATACCGTATATATTGTTCTATGTACATTATAGGCCGATTTACTACATCGTTACGTGCCCTCAGGCAGTACAGACTGGTAGAAAGCTATTAAAAATACTTGGTTACTCGTGTCAAAGCAAGCATTCAGTAACACCGGCTAGTACAGAGTGAACCTTACCGAGGCTAAACGCAGGTTATAATAACGGCTGAGAATCGTGTATTAACGGGGAGAAAGATGAAAAGAAGCAAAGTTTTCTCGTATGTTTTGGACTCCGGGACTTATTTCTAGATAAACTTAAATTTGGAGCTCATTTTTACGAGAATAAGTATTTTTTTCCCTAACTGATCAGGTTGTAACATTTTCAGTTACAGTCTTCATCTTCTTTGTCAGAATAAATCAATCCAGACTCCAAGACGAACCTTAGGAATTCTTTAATTTCGTAGAATAGCTTGGAATCAATGATGTAGTTAATGCTTAAGTATTCATTGACTGCAAGACGTACAATCTAAAAATAAAACAACATTATCTTGACTTTCCACAGTGGAATAGTACGTGTTTATGCCAATGAAAGAGCTGATGACGCACTTGATTGCAAGCTATAAATGTTTCAATGCCCTCTGCTCAACTGACTGACCGGCTTATTAAGCTGTGCTTCCAAGGGAATGAATAAAGCCTGGATTGTTTCCGTAGGCCACCAGTAAGTATACAGCTCCGAGTTGGTAAAAATTAGAGGCCTGACTGAGCCCGAAAAAAACCACAAACAGCTCCAACAGAGATTACATCTGCTATGACACCAAAAGAAAAAAATATTCCTTAGAAATTTTCTTTTCACACGAAACCACTCTCTTCCTTGCCCCTATCGAAGCTATTTGCCGCTATGCGTTGGGTAATTACCTCAACACATTCTTCTTAAATCGGCAAAACCTCGATTCATTTTCACCACTCATTACTTGGTTTATTCATTGCACGATACCTGCAATCATTATATTTGGTAATCAAGTAGCTTTGGAATGAGTCATTTCATATTCTCCAGCGAAACGATTGTCAAACAGTCCGGTAAACCAACGCGTTGGGATAGCATTGGTGGTCGAAGAGAAGAGGTTTTTTCATCAATAAGATTATTGAATAGTGAAAGCGAAGGTGATTGTCCCAGTAGGAGCTAGGCTCATTAAAGCGTCTGAGAGATACGAATATAAACACATAAGAAGCTTTCAGATGATTTGATCACCAATACCTCTCTTTACCGAAGCCAGCCAATATACCAAGAATTAACTTAATAGTCCACAGTTTATTGATTTTTGCAAACTAATAAAAGAATGAAGACGATGAATGTCGAATGGAAATGAAAGAATGATGGTAAAACGACGGAACTTTGTATCAAAAAATAATAAAAGTAAGGGCGGATTTTTTGGCTTAGCGATAAAGTACCTTCAAGTTCGCATGAGCGCAAATCAAGAGAGTCAATAACAGAGACTACCGGCAGTTTGAGTCAAGCCGAGTCTGTCCCCGTTCCCTCGAGTTAAACTTGCCTTAAATTTTAAAGAACTTATTAACACTAAACGAGAAGCCAACTGTGTGCTTTAGGGCCTATCTTTCATAATCTACCAACCAATCTTCTCCCAATCAAGCCTAAAACGTTGTTGTTTTTTAGCTAACCTTCTCTACCAGATAGTTTGAGAAGACAGTTTACTCGGTGGCCTTCAACGAACCAACACAGTTTGAGCTCACAGACAGACTCCTTTTTTGGTCGAGGCGAATCCAATACATCCTGAGTAGCAAGCTATCTAATCTACCAAGTCCTAGGCTCCCGTCGATTTTTAATTTTGTTCTTGAATTTCAAACAGCCTATCAAGCTGTTTCCATGAATTACGCTACAAGACACTTGCATGGCATCAAGAATTCCTTCTTAATTCTACCGTGGAGCGATGTTTCTAAAAAATTCATCTTGCTATAGATAGGATGAAAAGTGGCCCAGCGGGCGATGTTCAAAACGCTCTTCGAATCTGCATTTTAACTAACACATGTCTGACTAACACAATCGGTATTCCGCGAAAACTAGCGATTTCGAATTCCATTACGACATTAAATACAGACAAACCTCCATCAATAAAAACTGTTAGAAAACAAATTGGGCCGATTGCCCAAGTCTAATAGGAAGAACCATGATGAGGGACGAAAGCCGAAGTCGAAACAGCGGGATGGGAGCTCAATATACGAGGTGTGCTTAAAGAAACCCTTCTCATTGGACACGTTTTGAAAACCTTTGTTGGAAATAGGCCCAGTAGGAAAAGAGGTCTCGCTGAGCACCGGAATACCATTCATTTATTTGGATGATTTTTTTAAGTACTGAAATAACTGTGTGTAGCACAGCGTGAGCATGCGTAGCCGACCACAAACCAGCAGGTTTCTTTGACTACAAAATAAAAACGTGACAAACATCATCTATTAAAAAAATACAAACTTTTGTTAATCTATTCACAGCGAATATACCAGAATCTATCGCATGGGAAGAAACAAATGATTCATAAAAGACTAAAAGAATTTGTCTTGTCGAAGCATAGCCGGTTAGAAGAATAGAGAGTCGAAGTGTTTTGGATATCATATAGATGTCTGGTAGAAAGAATCCTGTAGCTTCGTTCATTCCATGTTTGATATTAAATGTATAATAAATCCAATACTTTGAGTCATTGCAAACGATTTAGCTGGCATTTCATGCGAGGGCCGGGATTGAAGAACTTGGGGGTGTTTTTTCCGTGACAAGGTGCTGTGATCTAACAGTTGGATATACCAAGTACCATAGGGTTAGTTTTTGTCGATCCCTCCAATCACAAGCCAACTACACCTAAGCGGGTAAGGTGAAATGACTACTTGAACAATTATGCAAAAATTTATGCTACTGAGGCGATTATGATTGGCGCTTTTGGGCCGCAGCACTACAATAGCCTTGGGCAATAAAAGACCGCGCTGACAGCCAATCAAAACAAAGAAGAGAAAAGCTATTTAATTTAGATGACAGCTGTAGGTCGGTGACAGTAGCCACGACAGGGGGTTGCGCACAAATGCCTTGAGTCTATATAAGAAGACTGCGTCCCATAAAGCCACTGGTTAGTTTGCTCGTCGCTTCTTTCTATCATATGTGTACTAGTTTTACGGTACCAGACTAGTTCGGAGACCCACTCACTACATCGATGTGTTCCAAGATAAGGTCAAAATAGGCGGGCAAGCGGCGAAAGACAGCTTTGTTAATCAGTGCTGTTGTATCTGTCACGAAAGTGATTGATAGATGAATTGGCTCGATACCCGCTTCACTGAGTAGTGTCACCGTGCAAGCTTCGCACTTCAAATTTGGACTTTGGCGGTAGAACTACCTCGATGGGATATATTTCCTGCATGGAACAACAAAAGAATACAACATCATTCAACTATCTGTACTTATGTTTGGATTCCTGTCATGACTCTCTGGATGGTTAGCGTGAAGTCGTAGACGTCGAACTCAGACTCGTCAACATGTCCATATTGGTCTAACATGTACTCATATATTATATTTGTGCTACTGACTATAGCTTGGTCTACATCCACTAGCGGATTTCCAAGCTCATCCGGTTCTGATTGCAATGTGCAACTTAAATGCACCGGGCCTTACGAATCTCGTATGGAACAAGCAAGAAACAGCAAGTTAAAAATGTGTGCCTCACTGACTTTATACCAGAAATGTTTAGATCGCAGAAAGTCATCGTGTCGAGCAGTTATTTATTATCATACAGTCAAATCATTAATACCCGTCCTCATGAGGGAAAAGTGTAAGAATATAACTTTACCAAAGAGTGAAGCCGAAATTCTAAAGCTATTCAATAATGTGGCGAAAATAATTCCTCTGGATCCGAAGCCTACCAGTAAGCCACGGTGCAAGGCTACGAATCATGGAAACAGGTTTAGTAACGTTAGCTCTATTGAGAAGCGGTACTGTGGATTATTTGGAGACCCCCATTTGAGAACGTTCTATAATTCGAAGCAAACTTGTGTTGTTGAGGGAGCCTGGCCACTCATTGACAATGAATTTATAGTAGTTCAAGTGACTAATGTTCGTTTGGTTGACGGATTCAGCGCCACAGCAACCAACAAGGTAAGGAAAGACCCTTTTCAATTTCATTCAAGAAACTTACTCGTGAACAAACAACACTTAGATCTGCATAATGAATCGATATCACGCAGCGAAGACCTTCCTTGCATATTGGTGAATATATCACACTGTTTTCTAGGTTTTAGGTTCGCTTTCTTGGAAGTGCTTTCGATAGATAGTAAAACTAGTATTAGTACTGACATGTCTGTTATGTATGTTAATTTCATGGTTAACTATATTGGATCGCTTCGTAGTAAGCCATTTATTTTAACCCTAGTTTAAGTGTTGTTGCATATTCAAACCATACTAATAGATAAAATGACAATATTTGCTTCAAAATAACGAAACAAATTCAGTATCATCACTCGATTGTCATTACTCACACGTCTTTTATATTTCACGTTTAGATCACTATTATCGTCAAACAAGACGTCGAGAGCTGTGTGGAGCAGAAAGCATATCAAGCGAAGTCCGGAGTATTGCCGGTTGAGTTTCGTGATGGCTCGACATCTACGGGCACTTCAAGTTGTAAAGTCCAAGTTATGGAACTTATTAAAGACTCTTTAATTCAAATTAAACTTTGTCATATTGGAACTGACATTCTAGTTCGTAAAGTTGGTCAATTCTTGACCTTTCATATCAGAATGCCACAACAGATTGCCAATTCACGACATACGAAAGGACTTTGTGTTGGTGGATGCCCTAAAAGAGAAATTATTGATTACAGAGAACTCTTATCTTATACGGAAGCACAACTCGCCAAAGCTTTTCCAAAGAGAACAATAACTCGTAGAGAAGCAAAGCAAAATTGTGAAGATTCAAAATTAAAGGGTTTCTATTTAGACTCTTGCGTGTTTGATCTTCTTACAACAGGAGATCGAAACTTTACTCTGGCTGCAGAGACTGCTTTGGATGATGCGTTTGAACTGGATCCATCAGGGACCGTAAAGGATCTTACAACTTACAAAGCTACATTAGATACAGATCCAAATACGTCGAGGGAGAACACACGAACTAAGTCAAAACACAACGGAGTACCAACGGCTAATTCGAGTGCTACTTTAACACTCTTTATTCTCGTAGTTTTATTCCTCAGCTTTCTGTAATAATTAAAACATTCATTGAATTGCAAACGCATACATCGTTCACTCATTCGGCCACATTGAAAATATAATCGTATTTTGCTTTCTTTTTTAAAGTAAAGCTATAAGGATATGAAGAATTTTAAGATTGAATAGGTCCTACATATGTAAATAATATCCCACCAGAGAGCAGAATGAATTTATAAGCAAAATTGCTCTAAGATTTTGCATTATATTTCTATCGGCAAATATTTTGGAAAAAAAAGTAAAACGGGCTGGTTGAATAGTTTCAAAGTCAACAAGCTTCATTTGGTTTGTTTTGAGAAAAAATTAATTTATGGCTAGTAATATTTGAATGCACAAACTCATGCACTTGTTTCGAGATTAAAAAATATGGTTTACATTCGTGTTTAATGTTAATGTGGGATTTGGTGAAACTAGTATTTAGTGTTCTCTACGTATTTATTGCGGGATTAATTCTTCATTTTCTGTGCATGCCCCTTGGATTGTTTTTATTCTTGATGAACGCCAAGCAACTAATTGATTCAATCTCCAATACTGATTGCCCTTTCTGGTGGTCTTTAATAACGACACTTGGGTTATCTTAATCGAAATACGATGCTCGTGAGGTACGGAAGATTGAGCGAACCTGAATTATACTCTACTCAATCATTGCTTTGAGTGGAGAGCTAGCGCTGAACAAGATCAAGATTGATTACGGTGTAGTATAGCTTAGATTACAATGACCTAGGTTCAAAATTGAATCTGAATTCTTGCGGAAAGCCTTTATAAACCAGGGGACTCAAAGACAGGATATTTTTGACAGATATATCTGGAGTTCATTCAAGGTTTAAAACGAAAAGTGAATCATGATAAAGCTGTACTCACGACGGGGTGCTGAAAATAAGCTTTGCATTTGTTTATTGCGAAACATATTTTAGGTTTGAGTAGAGCAAACAAATCTGCTGTAGTTGATCGAGTCGAACACATTTAGTGTTGACTTGAAGTGTCACTGTATTGATCTCCGAGTGACTTCAATATAGTCTATCGCATTGCGTTATTCTTGTGGTTAGGTCACTCGAGAATCGACAAGACTTTGGTATTAATTAGCAAGCGAAATATGCGGTCGTCTGATGACCGGTCCACGCGAAAGAACAACTCGTTCCTCCAATAACCAAGTAAAACTACCCGTATTGCGGTTCTCTCACTTCTGCCTTCCAATGCGGTCAATATACGTTATCACTATTCCTGTTTACGCGCAGGTTAACATCAATAAGGCAAGGCGGTAATCAAAATGTGACAAGATCGTAAGATAGATAAGATGTATCTGGAAATTCATCGAGTTTCGGTTCCAAAATAAGATGACCCTGTCATGAGGACGAATGACGAGACCGGTAAATGATGTATTGAACGCGCGCTGGTCAAGTGGTCTACTTTGAGGGTTATCAGTGAAGATCATCAAATGCCTTCATCACTGTAATCCAACAAGAAAGAAAAATCTTTCATCCATGAATTACTGATAAGGATTTCACGTTTCCGCCGTTGCGATTTATGCTTTTTGATTTTTAAGCGTTGTATTGAGAGGAGTTGAAGAGGAAGTCTTTCGTTTTCGGAAGCGATTTGAAAACTCTTTTACGATTTTGAAAAGCGAAATCGAAAAAATTAAAATAAAACAAAGTTTTGGGGAAAACTACTTAACTGTTGTTTCCTAAGGAATTATATTTCCTTTTTAGAGTGTGTTTTTAAAGGTATAATAATGCTGAAGCTAATTGAGTGGAGTTGTTTTGTTTGCACGGCTTATTCAGTCTTCCCCGCTTATCGGTTTCGAAAGGCGGTTCTTGTTTCTTCATATGTCGAGCTGTGAGTACAATTTTCCATCTAAATCAAGCTAAACAAAGAATGTAAGAGTGTGTTTAGTCTGTCGTATTTTAAACAGTTTCCTTGATGTACAAGTAACTGTTTTTCTTGATATGTGTGTTTAGATTTTGTCAATTTGTGCTAATTTACGGGGCGGAGCTTGCCCCCTCAACAGCCACAGACCCCACGGGTTGGAGTTAATGAATTCGTAGCCAAAATCTCCTTGATAATTCACTAAATACACTGAATTTATCAGTCAAAATTAGAAGAAAAGATCTTAGATAGTCGATGTAGGTGTTTGAAGATGGTTTTGGTTGTCGGCAAGCGAGATATGGTGTTTTGTTCAACAGATGACAATCAAAGGTCACTCTCTAATCAACCCGAGCAAACTATGCCAATTACGTTCGCTTATTGGAAAATGAGGTGCGAAAAGAAATTGATAAAACTCAAAAAGAAAAGAACTCCTGGCCAATACCAAGTCTATTCGGTTAATGAACTTTCCCAGTAATAATAACTTATTCGATTGAAGTTTTCGGCGCATTTTGAAGGCTTTGAAATACAGGTATAGTCTTGTTGGGAAGAATTTTCCCATCGACACTTAAGACAATGAAACGTACAGCCCACAGCCCCCCTAGTGCTGGCGATTAGACCAAAATAAGGTCTTTTGTTTACAGATGAACGCGTAGAAAACACACTGCTTAGTCAACACAAACCTAAACCCTAGAACAAAAGATCTGACATAGCAAACAGTAAGCCATATCGCTATTGTCAATGTGTTCAATACATTCACGGACCAGCCATGCATATCTTTTCTCAGGTCTTCCACGAAACGCTTATTTGACTAATCATTTTGTTGTTTCCGGGCAGTTGTTTGAGGGAAATTCTGATGACAGGAACAAGAAGTAGCTTAATTCCTTCGGAAATTAAATCAAAAAGCGTCGGTATAATGATAAACAGGTCTTATTTTAGGTGTCTCTGGATATACTCGATCAATGTCATTAGGCTTGTAGGGTGCAATATACCTCATGTACGGACCATCATACCACGTGATCATAGTCTTTATATACATGTATTATGTACATGCGCATTGAGCAATCTTTTCTTGTCCTTGATTCAACATGAACCTGCATTAAATCTCATATGCAGTTTACTTTTTCCTCGCTGACCGTCATGGTCTCAACCATGCGTTCTGATCTTTCACAAAAACCAATAAAACGTCGTTCAGTTCATCATCTGTCTCAATGAAACGTTAGTATAAAAATATCCCAGAATGCTACAAGAATAGCGAAAGCGAGTTACGATTTTTGATTTGTCATAGCAACCAAGACAGCGGACTGAAACCTTAAAGACTTTGCCTCACGCGATGATTGACAAAGTGGTTTCGTCCAGAGCAGACGAAACGCTGTGATTATGACATTAGTCATCATCTTACTGCTATCGAAAGTACATGATTACAATTCTACTTAGAATGATGTCTTGTACGAGGCCTAAAAAACAAACGTTCTGTCGGTGTCTTAGAAGACCACGAGCAACACACGGCTGAGCAAACTCCTGACGGATGAGATGCACAGGTTTGTATTGACAGACGGTCTGTTATCGTTCAGTTCTCTTCAAGAGTGTGATAAGTATTTTGCCAGGCAGCCGTGTTGATATCTTCAGTACTCTACGGCGATGACCTCAATTACCACTGAGTACACATTTGTTAGCCATATGCTTACAGTTGACGAAAACCACCACATGGGATTCCTGTTGCAACGAGGTCCCTAGAAGAATTTTGCATGATTCTTCCCAGGCGCGGGAGGCCTGTGTTAATCACATGACTTCATTTGATTGGTCGATTCTGAAGTACTCAGCCTTTCCTACCACTTCACACATTTTTTCTGGACACGGGATCCCTGTGATAGTGATTGAGTCGTAGACTTGGTCTTCACGCCTAGTATTTTCGCAAAAAGGAGAAACCTGTGGCAATGAAGGGTCCAGTGATTGGCTGTTTCGTTAGTCAGATAAAGAAAGCCTGTGCAGTGTCTTTTCTAGTTGTGTTAATCTCTAACCAATTAGAGACACATGAATGTCTCTCGATAAAAATAGTCAAGTCAAGTGGATTCGTCAAATCCTGTCATGTGATTACATGTGTGGGTCAGGGATGTTCAAGAGGCACTTGAGAGCAAGCTATGATATCAGTACTGTTGACAGCTAACAATAACAGCCAAGGATAGCTGGTTAGGACACAAGCCTGATGTAGCCATAACATTGTTATAGATGAACGATACATAGAAACATGAACTGAAGTAAAATATAGAACTTTGTTTTCTGTATCTCTGATACAATAACCTGTACAAGGATTTCAAACTCTTTTAAAACCAGAACACACACACACACAAAAAAAAAATGAAACAAAAAAACCATTTCAGGATTTCAATATTTTGGAAAAACTTCAGCCCAAAACTGAATTATAATACGTCATAGCTGAACATGCGCAAATAGATTAAGGACGAGATGGGACACAAATCACTTTTTATTTATTGAAGTGTCTAGTCGTTATAGCGCTTTCGCACTAATTGGGGACACTTTTCACTCACACGCACTACCACTACATTTAATATTCTATGCACACAACGCTCAACTCAATACACAATAAACTTCACCACCCTCATCTTCTCATCTAACGCACCCGACGTTTTAAGCTTAGCATTCTTAAAAAGCCAACGATCCTTCTAGTGGAGGCCCTTAAGTTTCTGCATAAGAATGACATTTATAATCGCACCTGATTGGAGTCAGTCACGTGACAAGCAGCTAGTGTGGTTAAGTTAAGTACGGTTAAGTACCAAGATGACTGACTGAGTTAACTTTAAAATATTATCATTCATATACGTTTTGTATTCATAGTTGAAAGGAAAAATAGAAAATTACAAAGTTAGACGGAGGTTAAGAATGCATGAGGTGTGCACTGTTGTTATATGTGCGCAAGTACAGAATTTACTTGTACATAGCAAACATCAATTCTATCAAACAATCTCTAGGATTTAAATCAGAGCACGCCTGACTCACAGATAGACAACAATACTGGTAGTGATATTTAGAGCTGTTGTCAAAAGAATAAAGACCTGATGTTCTCAGAGTTCTCAGAAGATCTAACCAGTAAACTAGCTATAACAGTTGAAGAGTTCAATCGACTATAAAACAAGTAGTGAATGGTTTTATTCTTACCTTCCTTGTCTCCTTGAATGGAAGATGTGAATTTGTCTTTCTCCAAAGAGCAGCCAACTTCATCTAAAGTGGATAATGAAGAACTTGAATCCTCTTCTGATGTGCACCGAGCAGTTGTAAACAAGGTAAAACAAGATGGCGTACCAAGAAACGACGCGCGCATACCCTAGCAACTTTTTCTCGTGGGAATTTTGAATTCTAATTTTATACTATAACTGGACATTGATGAGCAAGTTTGTGCTTGTTCTTCGAGTTCGCATTGAACATACGCAAAATTTATTTTGGCATTTACCTCTAACATCAGAGATGTTTTAAGCTTTTCAATGTATGTAATATGAAATTTGACATTTTTCTAGTAGTTATGTTTTTTGTTTTCCATACTTTTCACAACTCAATTTGATTACATATTGTTAGTTTTTTTACAAGACCTTCTTGAAAGTCACTATAGTAATGAAACTTCCTGTGTTAAAATATCGTTGTAAATAAATAAATGAACAAAATGTTCATAGACATCATCGCATATGTTCTCGCTTTCAGAATCCGACACAAAGCTGAGAGCAAAATACAGAAGCTTGCAGAAAGGCTGATCCAGAGTTTCTGCCCCCCACCCACATCCTATTTCAATGCATTTGAAGGGCAAAGCATAATTTTAATCAATTTGATTCTACTGAAGGTAAAAAAAAAAATGCTCGGCTTCACGACCGGGGTTCAATCAAACACCCCTGGATGCGCTCAATTTCGTTTTCATAAAATGCAATGTGCATGCGCACGTTTCCTTTCACTTCAAAACAGTTGTCATTGACTTAGGCCTACTAAGCCCGTCCAAGCTAAGGTACCCCTATTTTCCGCGCAATGTTATGACCTTAAGGCTTCTTTTCAAATAAACAAGGGAAACTTTGGACTTGCTTCGGAAATAAAGGCATTGAACCCAAGCTAAGCCAGAATGCAATGGGGCTGAACCATCATTAAACCATAAAAGCCGGTCATCAACCAATTGAGTAAGATAGAAATAGGAGCGATAATGTCATGGATCAATGTAAGTTTATTCTATATATTGCTTTAGATTAGAAAGAGTGTAAGACTGGTATCTATCGGTGTTGATAGAGACAAACAAATAAACAAACAAACAAGACAAGATTAGGAAAGAATTATTATCAAAATTTATTGCAACACCACAAGATTTGCATGCTTTCTTTTACTACCGACTAAGCTTCCCAGCTGATAATTCTTACAATTCTTCTTTCTTAGCTTTTTTCGATTTTTTGCTTTTCTTTTCTACATCTAAACTGAAAGGATTAGTTGCTTTGCCTTTGATGAAATCCACAAAATCAGACACTTCTCTTCCTCCCTGGTATTTTTCAGGACCGTCTTTGCTGTTCATTGGCGACCAGTAGATGGTAGGGAATCTAAAAACGAAAAAGATGTAAGTAAGACAAAAGAAAACAGTCCATACCAACCAAGAACGTGAGGTCACTGAGGATCAAACTATGGACCTCTTGCTTTGCAGGCAGCACACAAACCAACCAAGCCACACTTGCTCCTTAAAACAAGTGTGTGTGGTCACTGAAAATCAAACTATGGACCTCTTGTTTAAAAGGCAGCACACAAACCAACCAAGCCACACTTGCTCCTTAAAACAAGTGTGTGAGGTCACTGAGGATCAAACTATGGACCTCTTGCTTAGCAGGCAGCACACTAACCAACCAAGCCACACTTGCTCCTTAAAACAAGTGTGTGAGGTCACTGAGGATCAAACTATGGACCTCTTGCTTAGCAGGCAGCACACTAGCTAACCAAGCCACACTTGCTCCTTAAAACAAGTGTGTGAGGTAACTGAGGATCAAACTATGGACCTCTTGCTTAACAGGCAGCACACTACTATTTACTATGGCCACACTAACCTCTAAGCATCATTTTTATCCCACACAATAATCATTCTTTAACCTACCCTTCAACCTTGTATTGGCTTGGAACATCGTTAGCTGTGGCATCCATCTTTGCGATCACTATATCTTTAACGCTTTTGAGTTTTTCTCCAAGTTCATTATACTTAGGTTCCAGTGATTTACAGTGACCACACCAAGGAGCATAGAATTCGATAAGAACATCTTTACTTGGATCATTGACGATTTCCTTAAACGTTTTACCTACAACGACCTGTGAACAATGAATAAATGTATGAATATCAATACAACAAATGGCCGTGACTATTGTAGTTGAACTTTACGGTAAAATCGTAGAGAAATCTATAGTATGTATACTGGCCTTCTAGCTAACAACCCCCTTGAAATCATCCTAGATCATATACTACTGTAGCAGGAATGGCAGAACACAAAGATAGCATCACTGAAAGCCACCCACCTTCACAGGGCCATCGTTCTTTTCAGGAACCTCTTCAGATTTGACATATGGACTAAGTTTACCATCAAAGTAATCTTGTAAAAATTGTTTGAAGGTATCAACACTGTAGGAAACAAAAACAAAATATACTCCAAATCAAGCAGCTTCAATATGGGTTATGCCAGATGTTTTAGGGGGGAGGGGGGTGGGGAGGTTCAATATCATAGACGATAGACGATAATTATCATTAACTTATCAGACTGCGGGTAGTGAAGTGAATATAGGTCCCTTGCATAAAAATCCCAACTTGGGGCTCAAAGCAACCAAAAACATCAAAAAATGTTTCAATCAAGAGAAGGGAACTCTTGTTGTGACAAGCAGATCGGGAATAAGCCTTTTCATAGTTTAAGAATCGATTCCACTGCGCATGCGATTTTATCCCGAATTTCTCACCTTCTTTTGTCTAAACCTTCTTTTGTTCTTAATTAAACGAAAGAAGGTGAGAAATTCGGGATAAAATCGCATGCGCAGTGGAATCGATTCTTAAACTATGAAAAGGCTTATTAGCGCAAGGGATAACAACATTGAATAGAACATGTGGCCCTTGTTTGAATTGGAATTTGGAAGCATTGATTTTATTATAATAAAACATTGAAAATACAGCTTGAAAATATAAATCCAAAAGTGAACCCCATTTTATTCCATGCTGTCGTGTGATGGTTTTCTGTTCAAGTCCCTAATCTTTTCTTCCTTAATGAAGAGAATTTCCAATTTCAATTTTGAAATTTCAAAATTTAAAGTTAAAATCTCAAAACTTTTTATCCTACATAAAACCACGTTGGTGATGTGGCTTCCTTGAAAAATAAAGTTTGCATTTCAAAAGATGCTAGGAGGTGATCGTACCTGAATTTCTCAGCTGTCATGAGATATTTATCTCCAACTTCATTTTTTATTGTTGCGACAGGTTCATCCTTTGGACTAATGCCGAAACTGTCCAACAGACGTTGAAAATCATTACCATTTGCAATGGCATAAGTCAAAGCCTTAGTATCTTTGAAACTGTTTGCAACCTTTAGAACTCTGTTACGCCAGTAGTTGGTGCCTATTAGATTGAATGGATAAATAGTTATTAATATTATCCATGTTCTCTTGGGAATAAACAAGGCTGCCACAGGGATCCAGTGCATTAATAATGTGCTAAAACGATAGATTTTGTTACTTTGCTCTATTGGATTGTCCAATAGATTTTATAGTTGGCAATTTAAATAACTATCAACCAAAACGAATTCCATTCATTTCAGAAGGTGTTTCAGGGTTTGATCTGTGAGATAGCCATGTCCTGACTCACATCAGCCAAGAGGTTGTTTCATGGTTTGATCTGTGAGTTAGCTGTGCCCTGACTTAGATCAGCCCAGAGGTCATTTCAGGTTTAGTCATGCCTTGACTTAGATTAGCCCTGATGTTGCTTCAGGGTTTGAAAAAATGGAGGTAATCAATTCCTTACCTTTAGCATTTCGTTTATAATCCACTTTGTAAAAAACTGTGCACAGCGGCATTTTAAACTGATCTTCATTGTCAGGTGTCATGTGACCAACCAAACCATGAAGTTTGGCTTTTAAGAACTTTTTAATGTAGAAGTCATCAGGTGATCCACTGTACACCTCCTTTGGAGCCTCTAGCTTAGAGTGGAGTCTTCGAGGTCTGAATATTACAACCTCACTGATGATGAAGACAAAATGTTAATGAATGCATGAATACTTTGCACAAATTTATGGTTAACCCTGAGCAACAGAGATTCGATACTTGAGTACTGGAATGATGGGAGTTAGAGTATTCTATGTAAATAAACACTTACTCTTTGTGTTGGAATTTCTCCATGATTTCCTCGTTGGTAGTATGTGCAAAGCTATACTTGTCCCTTAAATCATTAGCGGTGGTCATAAATGCTTTTCTAAGGTCATCATCTCCACCAGCAAAGAACCCTTGAACAAGACAAGAACACAGAGTTAATTACTCTACATGATGAAACACAAATCAGGCATTTTGACAGAAAATTGTATTGACAAAATCATATAAGCCTGAGATTGATTTTATCTGGCAGTAATGTCTTCTCATTTCAGACCATTTCATGCACAGCATTCCCTTGAGTATAATTTCTTTGTTCACTGGCAGTAGTCAGGGCATATATTAATATTGAAGTGCATGAAACAAAAAGGAGAATTTCAAGCAACAACTATTCTTAAGAGAACGATGTATGTGATCTGAAATTGGGAAACATTACACCTAGATTATGTTTCTTTTTATTGCAGCATTCATTCCACATGTATTGATCAGAGTCGTCATAATCAGACATTTGCAGGATGGCTACATTTTAACTACCAGAATCCCTTGCACACTTTGTTTTGTTCAGTTAGTTAGCATCAATTGTCTTACTATTCTCATGAGGAAATACAAATTTCAATAAGAAAGAAAATTTGTGAAGCATCTTGAATTGGAAGTGGGAGTCAAATGACGCTATCATACAAACATAACATTTGACACCTGCACATCTCTAGACAAAGACCAAAAAATCTCAAGTTAACTTGTATAGTATATCTTAATGATGTGGAAGTACTATTAAACAATATTCATTCAACTCACCAATAGTAACAGCATTTTCCATCTCCATAACTTTTTGCATGTCAGACATTGAGACGAGCTCTAAAAATAAATTAGACATTATGAATTAGTCACAATGAGAATTCCTGTTTAGCATTGTGGTAAAAAATATTAAACTCATAAGTTATCGTCTTACTGTTATCAACCAATTGGGTGGCCTAAAAACCAATATCTCAAGAGAAAAAGTGGCACCTCTGTTTTAAAAATTTTCTTCATTCTGATGGGTTAAAATTTACTCTCAGATCAGATAGTTACCTTTAGAGCTTGGTCCAGCCTGCTTCTTCATGTACCCAACAATACCATCTAAAAATAAATAATACACATTAACCCTTATCAATACTAATTATATTAATATTAAATACTACCTCATAATGAAGTAGAACGTTTATGAAGTGGCCACCCTTAGGGTATCATTAAGTGGCTGATAAATAGAGGTTTTTAGAAAATTACTCTTGAAATTCTCTTAAAAACACAGCTAAATAGAGGTTCTATTTTACCTAAGTTTGAAATTTTAGTCAAAATGTTAAAGAAACATGATTTCTAATTGAAATCAAAGAGAAGAATTTTTTGTGTGCAAAATCCCTTCATTGGTGCTATGGCAACAAACTGTAGCTAAAAACTCCAATATTCACTCCTCAAATTACTTGGTTATTTCAGCTTTTTATAAACATTAAACAGCACTGCCACATGAGGGACAATATTGATTGAAATGCCTCTTGAATGTAGGTGTTATGATATAGGACCAATGTCAACTCTCATCTTTCTCATTTTGAAAATTATTTTTCATCTCTATTATCTATCTTTATCTTCAAAATTCTCAATTTACTATTAATTATTATCAATTTTAGAACCTATTGCAATTTGGGAAAACAATTGATTATTCCATCTTCTCTTATTTTAGAATGCTTTGCGGAAAAGCTAAAATAAAATAAAATATAAAACACTCACTGGAGTCACGAGGACCATCATAGTCTTTAGAAAATTCACCATTCCTGAAAATCTTTAGTGTTGGGTACCCAGAAACTCCATGTTTGCTGCAAGAGTCTTTTCCTTTCTCAGTACAATCAACCTATTCATATAATTGTATAATAAATGATGAAATATTAAATAACAATACAGCTGCTAATTATCTGGCTGTTGTATTTATACAAGTAGACAGACAAGCTTGCAAAATATCTATATAAAAGCAAAATCATGATTAAATCTTGCCTCTACCTAGACATCTGAGAGCTCTGTTCCTCTTCTTGTTTTTCCCATTTTTTAATTTCTTTATAGATTTGTAATTTCATTGCTAATTTTTGAGCAAAAATCCCAAATCAATATAATTCATAACCCATGTTTTATTTCTTAATTTATTTCTTCAATTTAGATTCATGACATTTGAAGAAATCATTTTTTAAAAATAAATTCAATATCCACAAATGAAGCACATTTGGTAATAAATTAATGAGAATGTATAAAGTATAATCAAAATTGTCCTAAACTTGATGTGTGACAATAACACACCTTGGCAAGAGCAACAGGAGGATCTGCTTTTTTCAGCTTAGTGGCTGCATCTTCGTACTCTGGTGCTAGTCTTTTACAATGTCCACACCTAAACAAAAGCAATCAAGTAAATAAAAACTCAAAAACTCCACAAATCTATCAAGTAATAAAGCTTCTTTCAAACTTACCAAGGGGCGAAAAACTCTACTAAAATTATGTCATGTCGGCTAACTTCTGCGCTAAATGAACTATCCTCTAATTCAATAACATCAGAAGAATACGCAGAACCTAGAATAGCAAGAATCAATCCAATACAAAGTTGCATTTTGGAGAGTTAAAGGATCCAACACTTTCCAATTCTCAAATTTTATGTTACAAAGTGAAATCCACGTTGATCGAAGTTTCAATGAAGGAATCAGTGGCGCCTCCTGATTGGCTCGTTAAAAAACATGTGCTAAACAGTTGGCGTTAGTTGATTGGTTAACAAAGGATGGTTTCCAGGTGACTCGAGGGATTTCCGCGGGAATTCCGAAGAAAGCAACTTTTTCCACGTGGATAAACTTGCATTGCGGTATATTTTTTATTTTTAAAAAAAGTTTGCTCCATAAATTTTCTTTGAATATCTTTTATATAAAAGGCTTTCAAAGACATGGATTTTTTACTGGGCTGCCACAGGGAACCCAGTAAGTAGTATGGAAATTTTAAAAATTCTTCAAAAATAGTTATTTTGCTGTGATTTTTGTAATTCATTGGACAATATTATCATAAAATGAATAAGATTGAACAATAATGTACTAGTAAATTTATAGTCACAACAATCTCTCGATGAAAGTTAAAAATAGTACTTTATTAGAATATTATTAATTCTTTTTAATATTGTTTATTCACTCGAGTAAATATGGCGAAATTAGATTGGAAAAGTATTGAAGACACTTCTTAAATAATTCTTTGAGAAAACTACAAATAACGAAAAATGTCATAGATACATGGTACCGACGATCAAGCCGACAGGCATGACAGTAACGACATATACCTTGATCCAAGGTCGTCTTCAGATTTAAATTATAAATATTTTAAGAACTGCTGCATAAAATAAAGAATGTAAAGGCGAGTAATCTTGTGACAAAATAACTGAAGCCCAAAATGACAGACGGTAATTATTATCTGCTATTTTATGGCATTTATCCACAAGCATTAGGTGAGATCTGCGTGAATGTCCATCCATTCTCGAAGCAACCGTTTCCATACTGTTGTTGAGCCTGGTTCCACAGACCGTTAGGTGCACGGTTATCATTCTGCTGCTGTTGGCTATCATTGAGAGCCTCATCTACGTAAGATTTGATGTTACCTGAAACAAATGCGGACATTGGTTTGGTTAAGTTGAAGTATAAACTGAACCATATAGCGTATTGCTTGACCCAAGCCCTTGCAAGGTCTTAAGGGAACATTTGCGCTCATTTACAAACAGGTATTTTTAATGTGACGTGTTCCCATCCTTTTCTTTTCACTTTTTCGCTCGTTCGTTCTTTTGTCATGTGAGGAAAAGCGTAGTCCAGATTTCTGCTCCCCAACCATCCTGGTCCCTGTTGCAGCTAGATCACACCCACCTTCATCCTGAGGTCCTTTATAGTCACCAGCATAGTTGCCATATCTGAAGACCTTAAGTGTAGGCCATTGATGAATTCCAAACTTGACGCCGCAAGTGTAGCGACCTTCACCGAAACAATCCATCTACGAATAAAAACAATCCTTCGTAACAAAGTTTATCAGACTCCATTTCGAGGCTCTGGGGTCACTAAACTAAGTAATTCCGCGACTTTTCAGAAGGTATCGGGCTATAGACCCCTTGCACTGAGTCCTGAAAGAAATTGTTCTGGGAGACAAAACAATGGATGATTTTTGCATAAGAAGATGACCTATTGTTTTGTCCTCCAGAACAATTCCTCTAGGAATTTAAAATCAATCTATGCAAGAGATTATGGTCTCTTGATCTATATCGATCTATCAACAGTTATTAATCTATATGTAAAATATGAAACATGAAATAACCTTTGCCAAGACGTATTTCTTTTCTCTAGCCAGATCTCTGGCTGCTTTATCGAAGTGAGGTTTCAAGTTGGAACAGTCGCTACACCTACACGCAAAGAGAACAGACTATAAATAGTAACAGTGACGCCATCAACAATATAAATAGAACAGTTTGCCATTCTTGCATAGTCGAAGGAATCTCCAGAAAAATGTACTGATCCTTTAGCAATTTTTATGGCATGTTTTTTTCTTTTCGTTTCTGGTCTTCTGTTTTTCATTCTATCATTAAAAATAAAATTACCATGATCTGAAGATAAACTAGAAGACGTGATTTTAAGATTATGATTTAAACAGGTCAAGTGAGAAAATATTCAACTAACTGCCATTTTCCTAGCTAAGGAACGTATGTATTGATTGTGAAAATGTAGCACGGATATTTGGGGGGTTCCGAGTGCAAGCTTCGCTGATGACACTGAAGCAAACTCGTACAACAGGTACCGGTGTCTAGTGGTTTAAAATAGCATAGACAAGATGGTAAAACTGCAAATTGAATTGAGAGAACAAAAGAGGCGGCGATGGATCCACTTTATCTATAACGAACTGAACAGATCTGGGAACAGACCAAGAGTATTTAAATGTTTATCTCACTGACCATGGAGCGTAGAAGTCAACCAACATGACGGCTTTGTCTTTTAAAAACTCATCAAAGTTTTGATCTGTCAGAGTGAAGACTGGATCACTTTGTGGAGCGCTCAGAGATGGCACAAATAAACATACGGTAAATATCGCCAGGATACGAATCATTTTGGACAAGAAAACACGCCTTCTTACTAATTGTTAAGATAATGGAAGACCAGAAGAGTTCCAGGAATATTGATAGTTTTGATGTGAGTCTTATTACCGTGATATGAACTTGCTTTCTGATTGGTTAATTTAGAAGTGTTTTGAGTTATCCAATGATTTCATCAGCAATATCACACTCGTGCCATGTAAACAAAAACAGCGAATGTAAACATGTTTAACTATTCTTGTTCTTACTCCTGAAGGTTTGAGGTTGAAAATACTCGAAATTGCAAAAAAACAAAGTTTGAACTTTTGAGTCAAGGTTAAATGGATTAAAGAAAATAAAAAGAGAGAGAGATAAGGGGACAAAGTGTTTGATGACCTCGTTCTGTTCAGGACAGGTTGTTTGTGTTTATCATAACAGGTGGATGTCATGCTCTCTTGTGGAGCGATTGCTGGTCCAATGCGCAAATGAACCTTAAACTTATCTTGACATGTCTTGTGATCTTAAACAATTAGACCCCATCCAATCACATCGTTTGAATTAACGGCGTGCTCGAGAAAGTCACTCATTTTGGTCTCACGATACAGTTGATGAGATGTAGTCGAAAATACCTTCAAATCAATACCCTAAAACGCTGTACTTTTGGGGGACTTTTGGGCTGAACATGTAAAGGCACGGCTAACTCATAGATCGAATTTTGTGTTAAGCTTTGCTGAGGAAGGAAAACCGAAGATAAACCCTCAAATCAAGACAGCCACCCTAACAAATGTGCTTTCTTTCACACGTGCTCTCGAGTCGCCGGGGATTAAACCCGAGACTACAGGGGTCACTACCACTACACCACCCTTGATTCCCAAATGGCTGAAATACTGACGCATTCTCTTGTTAAGAATTTTATTTCGTTATAAAGGTACTCTTTAAAAAGTATTGAAATGTTACGAATTCTTCTACGAATGAGGTCACGTGACCGGTTTGTCCTCGTGATGTTAGTTGAATATAATTAACAGATTTATTCAATGCTATTTACTGAAATATAATATTGGTGGATTATCGTATACAGCAGATTTCGTATGGCTTTGAAAACTCGCGGTACAGACGCGCGTAACGTGACGGTGCCGTTTAGAGCATTCTGATTTGCTGAGCAGTTATCTCGCGCGCTGTTATTGGTTGAATTCCGAGCCGTGCCGTTTCAGTCATATGAAATCTACTCTACGTTAAAGTGATGCACTGATTCGCTCGTTGAGCTCTTAGGGAATTTTTTCAAAATAAAACCTTATGCTGGTATACTATTGGTTGTATCATCACCATGGTTACGATTTATATTGTCATAGTTACGCTTCACCACCTGCTTTGACATCAGATTTCTTATTGCTTTCAGCACTGTTTCCTGAACCAGAACCTGAACTATCAGAATGGGATCCAGACCCAGAGCCGCTCATATCAGCATGTTGTTCCCCCCCTGACCCACTGGCGTGACCGTCATGTCCTGAGCCACTTCCTGCTACATCCAGGGTCTTGGTTCCGATTGGGTTATCAGCTTTCGATACAGTCTTCACATTTGTTACCTTACTATCACCAGTGGTTTTTAAGGCGTCTTTGATGGCGTTCTCGATATCATGCTTCAGATCCTTGATTGATGTTTTATCGATATCACTGGATGGTGCTTGTGTTTTATCTTGTTTAGGAGCATCGTTGGTAACCTGGTTCTGAGGTTGGCCGGTTGGTTCCTGGGTCTGGGGTTGCGTAACTTCAGCTGCTATTTCTTGAGGCTTGGGTTGAATAAATGAAGCTTTGTCTGCTTGACCTTCTTCTTGTTTTAACGCTGCGTCTGACACTTCTTGGGCTTCCTGTGGTGGTTGAGCGATAAAGCTTCTACTATAAGGTTGCTGATATTCCTGTTGGTGCTGCTGCTGTTGCTGCTGCTGTCGTTGTATATGCTGCCTTCGTTGTACTTCTTGCAACCTTTGTCGTTGCTGTTGTTTAAAAGTGAAGTATCTTTTGTAAGCAGCAGAGTATGGCTGCCTGTAGGGCTGAGTTTGGTAGGCTTCAGGTTGTGGCCGATATCTCTGCCGACCATATATCGATCCACGGCGGAATGCTGCCGATTGATAAGCCGGTTGGTATAGGGGTTTTGGTCTGTATACAGGGGTTCGGTATGTACGAGGGTACTTCCTTTGAAAGCGATTGGTCGATTTATTTTTGCGTAAGAACGCTTTGGCCTTCAGGACGGCAGATGGGTTGACCGGCTTGCGAATAACGTGTTTGACGAAACCTGCTTTGTTTTGGTTCATTTTTGCAGCGTCAACCATTTTTTCTTTGTATTCTTTCAGTCTCTTCTGCCAGTTCTTATAAGCTGCGATCATTTTTAACTTAGCTCTCAATATTTCTAATGCCAACAAGTTACCTCCAAATTTCCTTGCAGCCGTGGAGTCACTAGTGGGTCCAACGTGAAAGTTGGGGGCTTTTGCTTCTACTTTCGGTTGGTTTGCAAATGGCACCACGGCAGGTTGTTGATTGGCTGGTTGATTGCCGCCATAGAATGAATGAACCAATGAGGGATTTGGTCCAGGTGCTGGTGCTGATAAAGGACCACTGAAATAAGAAGGAGCAGCCTGGCCTGGATTTGGAACCTGGTAAACTTGGGGATGAGGAGCTGGTTGAAATTGAAGAGGATTGAAGTATCCTTGAGGACTGGCGCCTAGTGAGGCTGCAAAGGATCCAGGGCCGTTAGTGGTCAGCGGTTCTCTTTGGGCTCTTGTTTCTGCCACGGAGTCCATGTATGCTAGAAGATCATCTGTCGAGACAAATTACACACATTATATTTTTGAACAAAACCGGTACCCAACATATTGGAATCTAATTCACAGTTTGCACGTTATCGCGGCCATGCCATGTTGATGGTGTTATTAAGCTTACTTCGTTAATACCATCAACATGGCTGTCATTTCTTTGCCATTTAGACTCTCTTGAGGTAGCTTGCAAATGATCAATTTTCATTGTGTTGTAATATACTAACTTGTAGTCCTGCCGCCAATATAATCTCCGCTGTACTGTCCAAATTTGAAAAGTTTCAACGCAGGGTAACCTTGAATATTGAACTTCTTGCAGAGAGCTTCATTTTGCGGTGCAACACAATCGACCTGGAAACAAAAAATACAGCAGAAAGAAAATAAAACTTTGGTAAGAACTGAGAAAAAGTGTAATCACTCTTGGAATCTAACTTATTGATCATCTTGCATTACATCAAGTGTCTGAAAGGTGTCAAGCAATTGCTACAGATGATCACGGTACCTTGGCAAAAACAAACTGATTCTTCGTTGCTAATCTGTTCGCTGCATTTTCCATTTCTGGAGCGAGATTTTTACAATGCATACACCTACAAAATAACAAAGCAATTAGTCCTGACCAGAACAGCGTAAGGCTTGCAACAAAGGACGAAAAATCTTGCCACGCCCAGTACGTGATATCTGAACCGGAACCTGCAGAACTAGACACAAAGGTTAAAACAATCTAACAAGTTTTCTGAAATGAAGTTATTTTTAATCCATCCAAGAAAGTGGAAAATTAAATCACTGTTAATGAAATATAAAGAAAAATTCGTTTGATTGTGCGATTTCACGAGCACTCGGTATGATTTGGATTTTTGAATAAGATTTCAAAAACTCTTTGGAGATTAGAAATTTTGATCAGAAGTTCAGCTTCTGGTTTGAGTTTAATGAAAAAACTTGCTCAGTTAAGTTAGAGTTTGGCTTGCTGCAAGGTTCGTGGCATGGTACGTAGAGTCTTTGCTGAGTGTCAAGTTCTATTGTCTTCTTGTTTAAAAAGATCTTAAGGACAAGTCAAGCGTGAAACATGATTAAAAACACTACATACCAGGGCGCAAAGAAATCCACCAGCATCACATCTTTATCTTGCAGGTAATGGTCAAACGTACCGGAATCAAGATCAAAAACAAAGCTTGCAAAGCTTGAGGCTACAGCAGCAAAAAGCAGCAAAATGCAATAGAGGGAGGGCATGTTGTAAGCTTGTGGACATTGAAGAACTTGTGTACAAGATGGCGAGGAGTCAACATTTGAGCTGATGACTGGCACCTGTTAACAGGTGGTATATCAAAACACTTTGAATGAGAGGCGAGTTGTTTTGATGGAATGACGTGCTGACTGTTGACCTGCCTCTGGCAGTGAATGTAAGATAAACTGCCATATTAGCTGAACTTTGCAAGACCAACTGACAGGGCACTCTGAGTCAATACATATTTATAAATATTGACTTTCATGGGCCCGGGGCACCATCTTGGAAACACATTCAGTGGAAATACTTGGTTAGTTATTCTTATGGTGCTTATAAGGACTACTCTTTATCAAGTTTAACGATATTTGGTATACAACTTAAATATATAAATTATATAAATTTAAATATATATATATAACGGGATCACTGTCAATTTTTCTATAAAATATAAGTACAATTTTTAGATATACGAACACATTTATAAAACTTTAAGAAAAAAAAAAGGAAAGTGAAATGTCGGTTTTATTTTTTAAGTATTTTTCTTCTCATTGAATAACAAGCAGAACTGTAAAATTATGACGTTGGCTGATTGTCTTCTTCGTGCTTCAGACTCCTGGGCTCTAGAGCTTGATTTTCAAGAATGATAATAATAAAAGCAATAATAACAAAGCTACCTTAATTTAAAAACCCCATAAATTAAAGAAAGTATAAGCATTTGATGGAAAGATCACCCAGTTGCGGGTTGGGTTCTGTCTACCATCTTCTCGTGTTTTATAAAGTTCTTTCTTGTTCTTTAATCTATAATCTATTTGAGTGTCTTGTTCAGTTCTCGATATTATAAACTATTCATAAAGACAACGATAGCTTAATACACAATGGAGCGTTTTGGTGCATCCGGGATAACGGCGTCCTTCTGACATCTAGTATACATCCGGTGTCTCTCTGACCAATCAAGTGCCACTATTTTGATATTATTAGATAGAATTATACATAATTAATGATGTTTTCCAATTGCGTGCCATTTTTCAATATTTAAGTAAGGATGATGTAAGACCTGCTCCCAGTGTCTGTACTGTGGTTCATTCGGGTCAGCAGTATATCCCAATTTAATCATGCCTATTTTTCTTGTACTGCGCATCTTCCCATGACTCTTCACTTTCATGCTCACCATGACTTGAGGAAGCTTGTCGTCTTCAATTGCGAACTCAAATACTGCGTTGTATTCGGGATGACAGCTTTTGGGTATGACATTGGTTTTTTTGGAGTGCAGCTTGTGACCAAGGAGGAGTATGTCTACCTTAACGAATGAATCTAATGAAAAACGAATAACATAAATAATTAACGTGGCTATAAGATTTTTCGCTATGTATAAGAGACTAAGGAGTGAGTCAGAAGGAGTTAATTGCCCTATTTCACTATGACGTCACTGCTTGTTTATATGGGGGATAGAATCGCCAAATCCAATAGAAAATTCAACGAGATTAGCGAAACAG